AAACTAGTACTTACGAGGTGCTAGTTTCCGGAAACCGCGGGCCAAGGGCAGGCGTCTGATTGCGTTTCCGGTGGAATTACGTGGCATCCGGCGCCCGCCGATGTTCGTCACAAACAGGGGGGGGTTTCCTCCCAGGATGCGCAAAAGCGCCCAACAGTGCATGCGCACAAAGAGTGATTGCTAGTGTGATTGCGCGGCGCAGCTTCTTTGCTGCGCTGCAGGATATTCATGTGATCGGCATCTCCCCCCTGACCACGGGACCTCGACCGGGACGTGTGATTGGGCGGCCGCGCGTTATTTTCCTCCGGGGCAAACAGCCACGCTTCCCCCCGCATTTTCCGGCCCGTGTGACTGCCGCCTTAGAGTGTTTAATGCAATTTACACACATTATCACATTATACAATATGTCACCTGTTCAGGCAGATGATTACATCTCCATGTTGCTGATGGGGAGTTTTAGATCGAGGCAAACTCCTCCAAGGCCTTCTGTCAAATTTGTGGCAGAGGTAAGATTTCAGGAAGATGGATTTCCTACTCTGGAGTTCGCGCAGCCATCAGATATCCTCAAAACCATGCGGGGCAACGTCAGAAGCCAGATGTGGTGGCTGAATAAATTAACGGCTTCTAGCAATCAAGGGGTGGAGTTTTGCTGCCCTGCTCCTCTTTGGACCTAGGAAAGACAGAATAAATCATGCAAAACAATGATAAATTAATAAATTCTGCAAAATGTATGTAAATAGGCATCTGGTTGCAGAAGTGGGACTTTTCTCATTGCAGAACATTCATCGGTTTGGCATGTTTTTTGGCCGCGAGGAGCACAGCCCGACAAAGGCCCTGGAATTTCTGCTTTAAATAACTGAAGCACATTATCATCAGATCAGGGCTCTGCAAATGGCAAGAATTAAGTGCCCGGTTTTCTGGATCAACATGGTCATGTCAAGCCCTGACCTGGATAGTCCAGGTAAGCCCGATTTCCTTAGAAGCTAAGCAGGGCCGACCCTGGCAAGTACTTGGATGGGAGACCTCCAAGGAATACCAGGGCTGGGATGCAGGGGCAGGTTATCAAGCTACTTCTCTGAACGTCCTCTGTGCCCCGGTAGGAGTCACCGTGACTTCCAGGCATGGGTACACGGGCACACAAATGCACACACACACACAAAATGCAAAAATACCTAATAACAGGGCTTTCTTTGTAGAAAAAGCCCAGCAGGAACTCATTAGCATAATAGGCCACACCCAACAGCAGGAACTCATTAGCATATAAGGCACACCCCTGACAGCACAGCTCATTAGCATACTAGGCCGCACCCCCATGTTACCAGAAGTGTGGTCATCCAGCCATACCCACCTTTTGCTTCTTATTCTGTTTACCTTGTTTGTTGTCAAAACCCAGGGCCTTTTTTGTAGCAGGAACTCCTTTGCATGTTAGGCCACACGCCCCTAATGGAGCCAATCCTAATGAGTTTCTGCTGTTGGGTGTGGCCTATTATGCTAACGAGTTCCTGCTGGGCGTGGCCAACTTGGGAGCCAGCCAGAACTCCGTTCCTGTGTGTTCCTGCCCCCAAACAGCCCTGCCTAATAAGAGTAATAATAAAATTAAAACAGGGCCATGTCAAGTTTCCTTTACAAAAAAGGGATTTTTGCCCAAGGAGAGAAATACTTCAGCTCCTGACTAAACAAAACAGGGTGTGTTAGCCAATTGGCCTCATGAGCTGACAGCTGTGAGAAACCATATTTGGATTTTCAGATTTCATTAAAGCCCCGGTGATGTGGTTATTCGGCAGCTGTGAGAAGCCCGCGATTGAGAGCGCTCCCTCCCTCATCTGCCGGCTACCAGCTGCCATCAATAAGACTATCCGAGGGAGACCAGGAAGCAGCCAGGGACCTTCCACTCAGGCCTCCAGCTGAGAAGCCCCTGCTCAAGGATCCTCGGCTATTGCATTTTAATTGCCCCTCGCATTACAGTGTGATTCCGGGGAGGCCCTTGGAGGAGCCGGTTTTGGCTGGAAAGCAAGATCAAAATTCAATCGATAAATAAACGCTCAGGTTTTGCCTGTGCTAGAGGAACTCTCCAAGGCCGGGTGGAGAGAATACAAACCTCGCTGTGAGAAAGCAAAGCTCCAGTGTTATTCCACTAATCGAAGCCAAACGGGAAACATGGGGGACAAAACGGAAACTGGGGAGGGGGGAGGGGGAGGGAGAGGAGGCCAAGTTTTCTGTGTATTTAGGATCTGTGCCTCCTTCCCCCCCATCTACAATGAGGTGAACCTGAATTGCTAAGGGAGGGGTGCTAATGCAGTGGGAGCGGGCATGGTCCGGAGGAGCAGTATTAGAGGACACTGAAGCCCCTCAGTCACAGAGGTTCTCACCAGCCCAAATCTCTGGCTGTCTCCACTGGTTTACTATGGAGGAGAAGGAGGAGTTTGGATTTATACCCCGCCCTTTACTCAGAGTCTCAGAGGGGCTTACATTCTTCTTTCCCTCCCCCTCCCCGCAACAGACACCCTGAGGGGTAGGTGGAGCTCTGAGAGAACTGCTCTTGAGAGAACAGCTCTGAAGGAACTGTGACTGACCCAAGGTCACACCAGCAGCTGCATGTGGAGGAGTGGGGAATCAAACCGGTTCTCCAGGTTAGAGTCCGCACTCCTAACCACTGCACCAAACTGGCTCCAGAAAGCAAAGGACCAGCCAGAAATCCAAGTGTGTGTTGCCTATGGGGCAGTCTAGAGGGGAGAGACTTCGGGCGTTGCAACAGAAGCCGTGGCTTGCATGTGTGAACGGAGCCAGCAGTGGTGGTGGTGGAGAGTGCCATCGATTCACGGCTGACTTATGGTGACCCTGTAGGGTTTTCAAGGCAAGAGAGGTTCGGAGGTGGTTTGCCATTGCCTGCCTCTGCATAATGACCCTGGGCTTCCTTGGTGGTCTCCCATCCAAATACTAACCAAGACCGACCCTCCTTAGCTTCCGAGATCTGACAAGGCTGGGCTAACCTGGGCCATGCAGGTCAGGGCTGAGCCACCGGTACCAGAGACCAAATATTTAATGGGCTGCTCAGTGTTGAACTTAACAGATGAGGCGGCTTCATGTGTTCAGGAAGTTTCTGACCTCTGACTCTCCTTGAGTCTCTCTCCAACATAGCCTCCTCCTGCTCTTCTGGAAAGAGACTCTGGGTCTGTTCTGGGGGTGGTGAGCAGTGTTCCCTCTAAGATGAGTGAGTGTGAGCTAGCTCACAGTTTTTTAGCCTCCAACACACACATTGTTGTCTCAGCTCAGGAAGGAGGGCTCCAGAGCAAAATGATCTATGCAGTAGCCAAATCCGCTCACTCAAAGCTTCAATGCCAGTAGCTCACAAAGTAGAATTTTTGCTCGCAAGACTCCACCAAGTAGAATTTTTGCTCACAAGACTCGTATCCCTAACCACCAAGGCTTAGAGGGACCCTGGGTGGTTAGGGATACGAAATGCATGACTCCCCTCTTTGATCTAGGTTGCACGTTGGGGGAATTCACTCTGTAGAACCACAACATGTTGATGGTTAAATAACGTGTGCTTACTTTAGACAAATGAGAGCTGGCATGGTGCAGAGGTTAAGAGCAGTGGACTCTAATCTGGGAGAACCGGGCTTGATTCCCCACTCCTCCTCCCCATGGAGCCTGCTGGGTGACCTTGGGCCGGTCACAGTTCTCTCTGAATTCTCTCAGCTCCACCCACCTCACAGGGTGTCTGCTGTGGGGAGAGGAAGGGAGAGGCAATTGTGAGCCGCTTTGGGACTCCTTGGGGTAGAGAAAAGCAGGATATAAAGTTCTTCTTCCTCCCCAGGTAGCCTGCTGGGTGACCTTGGGCCGGTCACAGTTCTCTCTGAATTCTCTCAGCTCCACCCACCTCACAGGGTGTCTGCTGTGGAGAGAGGAAGGGAAAGGCAATTGTGAGCCTCTTTGGGACTCCTTGGGGTAGAGAAAAGCAGGATATAAAGTCCTTCTTCCTGCCCATGTAGCCTGCTGGGTTTCCTTGGGCCAGTCACAGTTCTCTGCAAACTCTCTCAGCCCCATCTACCTCATAAGGTGCCCATTGTGGGGAGAGGAAGGGAAGGCGATTGTAAGCCACTTTGAGACACATGAGGCCTGCTGGGTGACCTTGGGCCAGTCACAGTTCTCTGCAAACTCTCTCAGCCCCATCTACCTCATAAGGTGCCCATTGTGGGGAGAGGAAGGGAAAGGCGGTTGTCAGCCGCTCTGAGACTCCTCGGAGTAGAGAAAAGCAGGGCATAAAGACCGACTCTTCTTCTTTAAAATCCTTATGCTAGAGCCTTTTCCTATCCCCAAGAGCCACTCTTAACATTCAGGTAAATTATGAGGTGCCTCAGTTGCTTCAGAGCGCAGGTGAGGAGATTGCATGGCTTAATATCTCCCCTTTGGGGGGGGGGTCCCTGCAAGAAGAAATCCAGCATGTCAAGGGGAGGATGAAGCCTTAAACGGAGCTCTTCCACCAGGCTTTCGATTAGGGGCCGCAGCCGCCCCCCCTGTTATATTACCATCTCTCGGGGGGGGGGTAGGGCCCTAGGAGGGCAGGAAGAAACATCTTTAAAAATATAACATCTATCATGGAATGCCTACCAGGGGATGTTTGGTTTGTGGATGTGGTTGTCCCCTCTGAGATTCCGGAATAGATGATATAGTTTGAGCACCTTAATGTCTGAATGGGTTTTAAGTTGTATATTATGTTTTAAATGTATTAAATTATTTGATGTTTTTATCAGCAAGTTCTCTTGCCATGTAAGCCACCCTGAGCCCTACGGGGGAGGGCGGGGTATAAATTTAATAAATAAATAAACCCTTACGATGCCAACAGAAGCAGAGCTGGGGGGAGTCTAGGATAATAGATGAGCACCGTGCTGAGCGACCGGGAAAGCCAGAGGCAGAACAAAGTGTTCTCCTCGTTAGGAACCAAAGCATCCGCTTCTGCACCCTCCCGTCCCGAGCCCCCTCCCCAAGCAGGCTCCACCTCCTCCTCCAACTCCGAATTGGGCAAGAGAGGGGCTGTGCGTTTGATTCATCCGAGCATCCCCCCCAGGAGCTCTTTGCTGGCCAGTCTGTGTTCCTTGCTGTCACTTCAGCTGCTCCGGGGGAGCTGTCCAGCCGGATCCTACGGTAAGCGGGATTCTCTCGTCTGTTGTCATCCCCACCCCCTTTCCTCCCTGCTGTTCCCAAATGATGCCTCGGTTTGTTGCCCCGTCAAAAAGTTCCTTGTCTTTCAGGCGATGGGCCCCATTTAAAAACAAATGGCTTGCTGAGGACTTAGCAGGAGCAAAAAAACTCTTCTGGCAGCGTAAGCCTGCGAGCAAAGTAGACTCTTGGTTACTAGGGCTGGTGGACCACCAAGTCCCAGCTGACAATGTTCCCTCTAAGCTGTGGAGTCTTGTGAGCGAAAATTCTACTTGGTGGGTTACTGGCATTAAAGTTGTGGGCGAGCGATTTGTCTACTGCATAATTTAGTTTGCTCTGGAGCCCTCCTTCCTGAGCGGAGACAAAAATGTGTGAGCTGTAGGCTAGAAAACTGTGAGCTAGCTCACACTAACTCAGCTTAGAGGGAACACTGCTGGTGATCCCTTGGGGTTGTCAAGGCAAGAGACGTTCAGAGGAGGTTTGCTACTGCCTGGTGCTGGAAACTCCCGTCACTCGCCAAGTGGCTTTTGATTCTTTCCCACTTTCCCTCACTTATGCATTACAAAGGGGTACGCTTCCGTTTGAAGGGTTTCCTCTGAACAGTGATGTGGAAGGAGACTGAACAAATGTAGAGTCCAGTGGCACCTTTCAGACCAACAAAGGTTTATTCAAGGTGCGAGCTTTCCTGTGCAAGGCACACGTTTTCAAATACACTTTTTCAAAGGTATGAGCTTTAGTGTGCATACACATTTTCTCAAATGGAAGAAGACTGCATGTATGCCCAGTTGCTACAGCTGTGTGGCACACATGCTGGGATTTGTGTTGGTCCCTGACTGATCCCGGTGGCACACAGACATGCCTCAGGGTTAGAGTGTGCCTGCAAATTATCCTAAACTGGCTTCTGGGTGACAGGTTAGGGTGAAACGGTTTCCACCAAATTTGCAGAATTTCAGAGTTTCTGCCTAGGAGGAACCTCTGCAGAGTTTTAAGAAAGGCTGAAAGAGTTTTGCTGGGGCGAGTAAACGTTCTCGGGGTGGGTCCACACATCCCTGGACTCTGCAAAGTCCAAAGCAGAAAACAAAATGTGCCTTTTTTGGTGATGGATTGTGCTGTACCACCCAGGGACGGCTGCCAGAACATTTTGTCCCGATCCTGTTGAAAGGGGCACTTCCAGAATTCTCCCTCTCTAAATCTCCTCCCTCGACTTTGAATGACATGGTATGTTTCCAAGCATAGTGGATACGCTGGTACCAATGCTCCCTCTAAGCTGTGGAGTCTTGTGAGCAAAAATTCTACTCTGTGAGCTACCGGCATTAAAGCTGTGAGCAAGCGATTTGGCTACTGCATAAATTAGTTTGCTCTGGAGCCATCCTTCCTGAGCAAAGACAAAAATCTGTGAGCTGGAGGCTAAAAAACTGTGAGCTAGCCCACACTAACTCAACTTAGAGGGAACAGTGGCTGGGACCAAGCCTGATCTCTCCCTAGAAGCTAAAATGACTAAACTGAGCCTATCATACTTCGGTCCCATTATGAGAAGACGAGACTCACTGGAAAAGACAATAATGCTAGGAACAGTCGAAGGCAGCAGGAAAAGAGGTAGACCCAATGTGAGATAGATCGACTCAAGCGAGGAAGGAAGCCGCAGCCCTCCGTTTGCAAGACGTGAGCAAGGCTGTCAACGACAGGACATTTTGGAGGCCATTCACCCATAGGGTTGGCAGGTCGGAGGCAGCCTGATGGCACTTAATGCACACACGTGCCTAGACCAATGTTCCCTCTAAGCTGTAGAGTCCTGTGAGCAAAAATTCTACTTTGTGAGCTACTGGCATTAAAGTTGTGAGCGGGTGATTTGGCTACTGCATAAATTAGTGTGTTCTGGAGCCCTCCTTCCTGAGCCAAGACAAAAAAATCTGTGAGCCGGAGGCTGAAAAATTTTTAAAGCTAGCTCACACTAACTCAGCTTAGAGGGAACACTAGCCTAGACCCTCACGCCTTTTCACGTCTGAATTTTATAAACTGTGCCGCATTGCTGCATTCACTTTCTTATTTGTGCCTTTGATTCCTCTCCTAACTTTCTTCCATCGTGATTTTAATTTTTTTTAACATTTATTTTTTTAAAACTTTTATACTGCCTTTCCGCACAACACGTGGGATTGTCATGAAACTCAAGGTGGCTTACATAAGTGATTCCTGGGAAGTCTCTAGTCCAGGCATTGACCAGTATTACTTTCTGCCAGGTTCATGCATCTGGTCCCTTTGGACTATGACCTAGGCCTGCCTCTAACCCTAAAATAAGCCTACCTTTAGAGATAAACCTCTAATCCGGAGATAAGCCCCCCCCTCCACCACCCGGGCCTGAAGTGACAATGGGCCATCTTGGGGGCCCTGCCCACCCGACTTACCACCAAGGCCCCCTGACTTCCAATTTTTTATTTGTGGCGCTCCCTCGGGGGGTTGTGGGGGTGTCTGTGCAGGATGCCCCCCAACTTATTTAAATGCCCCATGAATTTTTTAAAAATCCTGGCTACGGGCCTGCCCCCATCTCCCTACAGCTAGAAAACTAGCACCTCAGGAAGGCTGATTTAGGTAGAATGGGATAGTTTCCTAATTGCGGGAAGCTTTGATCTGTTGCATTCCTATCCTGTCTTCCTGATGGAATTCAAGGCAGCGTACAAAGCAGTCCAGGTAGTCCAGGTTAGTACCTGCTTTAAGTTGCTATATCATGTGTGTGCAGACTGTGCTCAGGGACCCCCCCCCCAAAAGGTGTCTTTTTCGCTTTTCTGAAATGCAAGAATGCAAGTGTGCACAGACACTGCAAGAAAAGTGATCCGAGAATATGTACAGATGCGTAAAGACTGCTTTTATGTGGTGTTTCACCAGTCTGCCGGATCCTATTGAAGCATCCGTAAAACACACATATAGCGTCTTGATGCAATCACGTGCCCAAAATTCCATCAGGAAGACAGGATAGAAATGCAATAGATCAAAGCTTCCTGCAATTAGGAAACTACCCCATTCTACCTAAATCAGATGGAGCTGCGGTGGCTCAAGTGGTTAAGACGCTTAACTGCAGGCTGTGGAAGGTCGGTAGTTCAGCAGTTCGAGACCCGAGTGTGCTGCATGACGGAGTGAGCTCCCGTCTCTAGTTCCCGCTCCTGCCAACCTAGCAGTTCGAAAGCAAGAAACTGCAAGTAGATAAATAGGTACCACTTCGGTGGGAAGATAACAGCGTTCCGTGCGCCTTGGTGTTTAGTCATGCCAGCCACATGACCACGAAAACGTCTTCAGACAGCGCTAGCTCTTCGGCTTGGAAACGGAGATGAGCACCGCAACCCTAGAGTCAGACTCGACTGGTTTTCGAGCAAGGGAACCTTTACCTTTTACCTAAATCAGCCTTCCTGAGGTGCAGTTTTTCACCAATGCCCAGTTGCCCCTCAGGGTCAAAGAAGAGGGAAAAGATACAAATGAGTGAAAAACTGTGGCAAGTGATGAATCTAAAAAATAGCTTTAGAAATGTCCCGTTAAATCAGAGTTTTGAGAGAGGGGGAACAGGGCAGAATAATAAAGGAGCCATCAAGGAACTAGGGAAGGAAGGTGATCTCGGCTCAGGAGCAGAGTCTTTGCCTCTTGCACACACAAGAAGCGTTCACGAAGCTCGCACCAAATCGCAATGATTTTGCATCTTTAGATTTCTGTTCCTGTTTTTCATTTGTTTTCATTGACGCTTGTTAGCTTTGTTTTAGCCAATACATTAACTAGGAGCCAAGGAAGAAATCTCCCCATTTCTACCCATTTCTACCTCGCTTGCTTCAAACTCCTTCCTCCAATTAGAGTCCTGATCAGTATCTCCTTCCCCGCATTTCGAAAATGACCCTCAAGGTCTGCGTGTGAGTAGCATTTGGGAGTCGAGGTCCTGACCTGAGGGGGTAGGCGGATATGTGTGGCTGCAACAACTTCTCTTTAAATACCCTGCTCTTGTTTCAGTAATCCCAGATACTATGACCTGTCTCCAAGAGCCAATCCACATGCTCAGAAGTGCAGCTCAGCCTTGCTGGGACTGTACCAGCTCAACGGGGAAGTCACAGGGCTGAATGTTTCATGACTCTGTGCTTTAAAAAAGCAAACTCCCTGCATGCAGAAATCTAATATGTCAGGGAACATGCTCGGCTTTCCTTGGTGTGGTAGCTGTCCAGGGCATTGGTTCCCCCAGTCTGGAGTAGTGGTTAAGTTTGGTGTAGTGGTTAAGTGTGCAGCTCTAGTCTGGGAGAACCAGGTTTGATTCCCCACTCCTTCACACACAGCTGCTGGGTGACCTTGGGTCAGTCACAGTTCTCAGAGCTCTCTCAGCCTCACCTACCTCACAGGGTGTCTGTTGTGGGGAGGGGGAGGGAAGGCGATTGCAAGCTGATCTGGGACTCCAAGTGAAGGGCGGGGTATAAATCCAATCTCTTCTTCTTCTTCCATTCAACTTGCAGTCCTCCCTCACCTGCGTGTAAAAATAGTCATTGAAATTCTATGATCTGTCTCAATGTATAACTTCTTTTGCATTTTCTCCTACAGGGACTTCCTTCTCAAGAGCTGCAACTCGCGTATCAATGGAAAGATCTCTCTGGGTGGCCTTTTGTCTGGGTGCAACTCTGTTTTTGCTTGATGAACCTACCCTAGCAGGTGAGACGATGGTGCGCCTCCTTTGAAGCTGTGTGTAGGAATTCCGTGCACAACCAAGATCCGATTTCTTTCTTTAAAAAAAAAAAATAATCAAGGATGTTTATCTCTTCTTTACTGCATATTTGAACTTGGGGTCAGCTGACAAAGTTGACCAGCAGTAGACTCACAGCTAATGAAATTAAACACTTTGCAACAGAGTGTACAGTCAGCTTGTGGAACTCACTGCCACAAGATGTGGTGACCGTCAAAGCCAGGGCCAAACTGGGTGTGATGAGGCGACCACAGTTGGCCATTGGCTTGTCTGCATGTACAAAGCAGTCTGTGTGTGTGTGGGGGGGGGAGAATCTAATCTGAGCATTAAAAAGGTCATGAGAATGAGACGAGAGGATCCAAGTTCCTGCGTCTTATCTCCCTGCACCCCATTGTTTCAGCCACATGTTTTCCAGCCCTGTTCACTTTTGGGATCAGATCCAGGTGCTTTTTAAAAGGAGTTAAACTCAGGGGAATTAGCTACCGACAGCTGTGATAGCTTAATGGAGCCTCCAAAAGTCAGCTTGGTGTAGTGGTTAAGTGCGCAGACTCTAATCGGGGAGAACCGGGTTTGATTCCCCACTCCTCCACATGCAGCTGCTGGTGTGACCTTGGGTCAGTCACAAGTTCTCTCAGAGCTGTTCTCTCAAGAGAAGTCCTCGAAAGAGCTCTGTCAGCCCCACCTACCTCACAGGGTGTCTGTTGTGAGGAGGGGAAGGGAAAGGAGATTGTAAGGTGCTCTGAGACTCCTTTAGGTAGTGAAGGGTGGGGTATAAATCCAATCTCCTCCTCTTCCTCCTCCTCCTCCTCCTCCTTCTACATTGGTTAGTACCCAGTCTGGGGGACCAAGAACATAGGAGGTCTTTTGCCATCATGCTTAGCTTCCTAGCTTCTTGGGAGTTTTTAGGTGGTGGTGGTTGCAAATGAAATGTTGAACTTATATAGGTTTGATCTGGCACGCCGGTTCAAGAGCTTCAGGAGGTTCACACAATTCACAAGTACCTTATGGAACTCACTGCCACATGATACAGCAATGGCCGCTAGCTTAGAAGGCATTAAAAGGGAGTCAGACAAATTCAGGGAAGATCGGTCCATTCAAGGCCATGAGGGCTAAATGGTTCCTCCATGTTCCAAGGCAGTATACTTCAGAGCAGTGTTCCCTCTAAGCTGAGTTAGTGTGAGCTAGCTCACAGTTTTTTTAGCCTCCAGCTCACATATTTTTGTCTCAGCTCAGGAAGGATGGCTCCAGAGCAAACCAGTTTATGCAGTAGCCAAATCGCTCACTCACAACTTTAATGCCAGTAGCTCACAAAGTAGAATTGTTGCTCACAAGACTACACAGCTTAGAGGGAACATTGCTTCAGAGTATTACTTTATGGGTGGCAACGATGGAAAATTCTAGAACTCCAGCATCGCATGGGTCTTTGCTATCCTACAATGTGCAGTGTGGTATATTTTGCTTGGCGGACAAAATATTATGCAATAACCAAAAAAGAATGAACACCGATTTGACTTTTTCACCGTTGGGGAAGAGAAGCTGCTGTTTGCATAACAATCGAGGCAGGTAAAATTTGAAGTGTTACGAAATTATAGGGGTGTTACATCTGGAAACCCTCCATTCCATCCAGGATAGAAGATTAACAAACTTTAACCTGAGCTGAATGAGGGGTTGGCGTTTAAAGAGGATGTGTTAGGAGACCCCCTTACACGGTAGCTCGGAGTTTAACACACAACAGGTTTGTCTTCATTTATTGGCTCAGGTTTTGCAAAGATCAGGTGATCTTGCTTGCGAAGGAGCAGCTGTCAAAAGAGGTTTTCCTCAGAGCCTATTAAATGGAGGTAGTGAAAAGATTCCTGCGGTTGCTAATTTGCACTGCTGTTTTTATTTATTTTAAAAAAAACATCTGCCATCTTTGAATTTTGAAAAACGGAGACAAAATTGGGAGCTCAGCCTTAAGATCAGGCTGGTCTCGCATAGCTGGTGTTGCCGCCAGAAGTCAAAGCTTACTTTGTTCTTGTGGGGCAGTGGAGGTTCCTGGAGCTTGACATGTAATTCCCCCCAGGGAGAAGCCCCCCACCCTCCCTCTGTTCCTTTCCTCTCTCACCCCAGAGGCCGTGGCTGTTCTGAAATTGGAAAACAATAAGCCTTGCTGTTATGATTGATGGTCATTGCCAAGATTTTCTGCACAGGAAAGGGGAGGTTGGAAGGTTGCCATGTTGTGGAAGGAGAAAACCAAGAGTCCCTCAGCCAAGGTTTGTCGCCTTGGTGGTTACTGTGCATCTCTCTGATGCTTTTGAACATGCACTGTGTGTACAACTTGGTGTCAGAAGTGGGCAGAATGACACTAGAAAGGTCCCAAAAGCCTGCAAGTTCCCTGTAGGGTTGCTTGGGAAATTCCTGAGAATTTGGGGGTAGAGCCTCCAGAGGTCAAGGTTTGGGGGAGGGTGGCCAGATCTTACCTGGCTGCCAGCAGGGGTCTCCAGCCCAGGTCCCTGGAAGCTCTGGTGCGCATGCTGCAATGGCGTCACCTGGAAGTGACATCATCACGCTGGGCACATCATGCAAGGGACACTCTAGCATTTGGCCAAAAACTCTATGGTCACCATAGAGTTTTTAGCCAAATGCTAGTGCGTCCCCCATGTGACGTGCCTGGTGCGATCCTCATTCTGTTGCCTATCTAGGCCGCATTTAATGAACTTGTGTAGCCCGTGATAAGATTAGCTCCTCCGAGTCCTAACTGAGGGAAGTAGATCAGAACTGAGCACCCAGTAAGTTTTACCTGGTGCTGGAGTCATGTCCTCTGAGGCCTGCCCAAGAACTTTGAGCATGAACAGCCTAGGGTCGCCAGCTTCCAGGTGGGACATGGAGAACTCCCTGACAGCGGGTTGCCAACTCCAGGTTGGGAAATTCTTGGAGATTTGTGGGTGGATCCTGGGGAGGGAACGAAGCTCAGTGAGGAATGGGGATGTGAAGCTACAGAGTCCACTCTCTAAAGCTGCCATTTTCTCCAGAGGGACTGATCTCCGTAGTCTGGATATCGGTTGTAATTCTGGGAGAAAGCCAGGCTCCTCTTGGAGAATAACAGCTCTATTACCACCTCAAAACTCAGCCACCTCATTCTAGGCCAGGCTTTTCTTTCACTTCTAGCCAAGTAGCCCATGTTCAGCTGTGGATTAGTGACAGAGCATATGCTTTGTGCATAGAAAGTTTCGATCCCTGGCATTTCTGGCTCAAAGATCTCAGGAAACAGGTGTTGAGAAAGACCTCTCTCTGCCTGAGGATCTAGAGAGATGCTGCCAGTCAGAGTAGATACTACTAATCTAGACGGTCCCGTGGCCTGACTCACTCCTAGGCAGCTTCATGAGCTCATAAGTTGATAAACCTCACCGGAACGTGTGAGGTCTATCAGTGGCTATTAGCCACAAGGTATAGATAGGGACTCTGGGGCAAGTGATGCTCTGTCTTCTTGGTCCTTGGGGGGGTCAACAGTGGGAGGGCTTCTAACGTCCTGGCCCCACTGGTGGACCTCCTGATGGCACCCGGTATTTTTGGCCACTGTGTGACAGAGTGTTGGACTGGATGGGCCATTGGCCTGATCCAGCATTGGCTTCTCTTATATTCTTATGTTCTTATGATGGCTTCAAGAGGGAATTAGTTAAGCATATGGAGCAGAGGTCCATCCGTGGCTATTAGCCACAAGGTATAGATAGGGACTCCGGGGCAAGTGATGCTCTGTATTCCTGGTGCTGGGGGGGGGGTCAACAGTGGGAGGGCTTCTAACGTCCTGGCCCCCCTGGGGGACCTCCTGGTGGCACCTGGTATTTCTGGCCACTGTGTGACACAGAGTGTTGGACTGGATGGGCCTTTGGCCTGATCCAACATTGGCATCCCTTATGTTCTTATGTTAACGTGTCTGAGGAGAACATCTATCCTTGTCTTGGGATTTGGGGCTGAAGTGCTATGAAGTGTAACCCCCATAAACCCTCAAGTTTCTCTGAGGAGCCTTCTCTGGGAGTCTTCCCATTTCCAGGAGATTCCTCAGTCAGTTGCTGGCCTATTTGGAGCTAGCCACTCCACTGGGGTCTCTCTGCCAGCTTTCCTCCCCATCTGCATGTGGGGTGGGTTTTTAATGTTCTCCTGAAGGGTGCAGAGCAACTTGGAACAGTCCAGCTGCCTCGCATCACTTCCGGTTTGGCCGCAGCCATTTCTGGTTAGGCCAAAGAGAGTGAGGGGCCAGCAGGTGGGTCAGTTGCGAGTTCTCCCCTGACAGCCACGTCACACCAAGTTCCTGTGGAACTTATTGCCACACAGTGCTCTGGTGTCACATAAAGGGGCTTTTGTTGTTGTTGTTTGAAAAAGGAGGAGATGAATACTTTTTTTCTGCAGGAGGCTGCCAGACATGATAGCCAAAACTCATCTTCCACTGCCCGAGATCATATATCTGAAGTTTCCATCGAAGGTTTGCCTCTGCTGAAGAGAATGGATGGGTTTCTCCTCAGACGAAACCTCTGAGGAATGTTGAGTCTGGCCACAAGCCTTTCAGGGGGATTAGTGACATTTCTGAGAGAGGCTTCCTATATTTACGTCGTATTAAAACCAGGGCTATTTTTGGGCAGGAACGCACAGGAACGGAGTTCCGGCTGGCTCCCAAGTTGGCCACGCCCAGCAGGAACTCATTAGCATAATAGGCCACACCCAACAGCCGAAACTCATTCGGATTGGCTACAATTAGGGTGTGTGTGGCCTAACATGCAAAGGAGTTCCTGCTACAAAAAAAGGTCCTGGGTTTTGACAACAAACAAGGTAAAGAGAATAAGAAGCAAAAGATGGGTGTGGCTGGATGAGCACACTTCTGGTAACATGGGGGTGTGGCCTAATATGCGAATGAGCTGTGCTGTCAGGGGTGTGGCCTATGCTAATGAGTTCCTGCTGGGCTTTTTCTACCAAAAAAGCCCTGATTAAAGCCAATCGATTTCTACCACCAATTCACCTGTCCTCAGGGCAGATGGCAACTCTGACAACAAAATCCCACAACATGGAAATGGCTTCAGAGGCTCCTCCTCTGACCAAGTGCAAAGTATCTAGTGTCCTCGTGGAATAAAGCAGACTGGGAATTCATCTTTGAATTAAAAAGATGCTTAAGAGCCAGTTTCGTGTAGTGGTTAGGAGCAATGTTCCCTCTAAGCTGTGGAATCTTGTGAGCAAAAATTCTACTTTGTGAGCAACTGGCATTAAAGTCGTGAGCGAGCGATTTGGCTACTGTATAAATTAGTTTGCTCTGGAGCCATCCTTCCTGAACTAAGACAAAAATCTGTGAGCTGGAAGCTAAAAAACTGTAAACTAGCTCACACTAACTCAGCTTAGAGGGAACACTGGTTAGGAGCGTGAACTCTAATCTGGGGGTTTGATTCCCCACTCTTCCACATACAGCTGCTGGTGTGACCTTGGGTCAGTCACAAGTTCTCTCAGAGCTGTTCTCTCAAGAGCAGTTATCAAAGGAGCTCTCTCAGCCCCATCTACCTCACAGGGTGTCTGTGAGACTCCTTTGGGTAGTGAAGGGTGGGGTATAAAGCCAGTCTCCTCCTCCTCCTCCTCCTCCTCCTCTTCTTCATGATTTTTTTACAATACAAAAGAATGCTGTAAACACAGAATGATGGGGGGGGATCCAGGAATGTCTGAATTTTTTAAAAATGAAGTGAAATGGTTCTTTGTCAGCGGGATGTCAAGCCAGCCTTTGTGAAGAAAAGTTCTTTTCAGCCTCTTATTTCCTGCTGTTTCCTTCATCTACTTCTTGTTTTTCCTGCTAACCTTACAAGGGATAGTTTCAGAGGGTAGCTGTGTTGGTCTGTAGTAGAACAGAGTCGAGTCCAGCAAGCCCCTCAGTGACAAACAAAATTTTCAGGGCAGAAGCGTTTGAGACTCAAAGCTGATCTTTGATTCTCAAAAGCTTATACTGTGAACATCTTGTTTGTCTCTATGGTGCTACTGGACTCAAATCTAACCATTTTAGAAGAAGAAGAGAGCTGAGAAGAAATTGGATTTATATCCCACCCTTCACTACCTGAAGGAGTCTCAGAGTGATTTACAAACTCCTTTCCCTTCCCCTCCCCACAAGAGACACCCTGTGAGGCAGGGGGGGCTGAGGGAGCTCTCTCAAGGACTGCCCATGAGAGAACAGCTCTGACAGAACGATGGCTTGCCCAGGGTCATCCAGCAGCTGCAAGTGGAGGAGTGGGGAATCAAACCCGGTTCTTCCAGATTAGAGTCTGCGCACTTAACCACTACACCAAATTTACAGGGGATAGTAGGTGTATGCACAAAATTCTTAGGGGAAACGCAAAGACTTTTGTGAAGAGCGAAATTTCTCAGTGAGCTTTTCTCCACCTCTGCCTCAAACAAGTGGGAATGAATGCCTTCATGTGGGATGGCCCTGAGCAGTGTTCCCTCTAAGCTGAGTTAGTGTGAGCCAGCTCACAGTTTGTTTAGCCTCCGGCTCACGCATTTTTGTCTTAGCTCAGGAAGGAGGGCTCCAGAGCAAACTGATTTATGTGGTAGCCCAATCGCTCGCTCACAGTTTTAATGCCAGTCGCTCACAAAGTTGAATTTTTGCTCACAAGACTCCACCACTTAGAGAGAACATTGGCCCTGAGGCGCCTGACTGCCATTTTTGTCATTTGTTTGTCCCTATTCCTTTGGGTTCTCTCCCCCCCCCCCTTCCCACATGTGTTTTGCTCCCTCTGGAACTACTAGAGAGAGCAAAACACATTTTTTTTTGGGGGGGGGAGGCCCTGAACCGATAGGGACAAAGGAGTGACAAAATGACAACGCAGAAGTGTGACACAGCGCAGCCAATTTGTGTCGTCAAGATTGTGGTTTGGCCCAAGGATGGCTTTCCCAACCTCAGGCCTTGAGGCCTGTTTGGGATTTCAGCCTCATACGCCGAACCATCCACAGTTCTTATCACCCCTCGTGGCCTCTTTCTTCACAGAACTTGTTCAGGGACTCGAACAAAAAAGATCAGCGTCGGATTTGGGTGCCGTACAAATGTCGCTGCCTCGAACTTTGGGCTACGGCTACTGCTTGATTATTTACGGCCCCTTTCAGGAGAGTTGGGTGGTTGTGTGCCTCTTTTTTCTTTTTCTTTTTTTTAGTTTGGAGGCATCTCTCACAATGGCGCTTTGAGCAGCCCCTGTACTGTGCTCCACAGCGGGGGGTGTCGAAGCCTTCAATAAGGCCACTTGTTCCTTTCCAAGGCTCCCGCGCAGGTCTTTAAAAAGGAGGCCGAAGGAACTCCCGCTGGCTCGAACGAGGAGACGTTGAAAGGGAACAAGAGGGTTCTTTTGAGACATCCTCCAGCTCCCATGGAGAGCTGCCGTGGAGAGGGTAAAAGCCCCTTTTGTTGAGGGATAATATAGAGTTTAGCCCAAGACAGAAGAGGCAAAATTGATGAACCTTTTTTTATATATATAAACAGTATAAAAACGGGAGAAAGAGAATTCTCTCAGCCAAGATCCTGGAATTTCCTCCTTCACGGTTTCCGCTAAGCAAGCTGATATTTTGATTCTCCTCAACGAATACGCACAAACCATTTCCCCCCCAGAAAGCAATAATAGAGATTGCTGTATGTAGCCCAAAGACGTGTGACTACATCCCAACTTCAGGAGAGATGGTAGGGACAGAAGAAAGACTATTTAGTTTAGTTTGACCCTGTCTTAGTATTTTTGTTGTTGTTCAGTCGCACAGTCGAGTCCGACTCTTCGCGACCCCATGGACAAGATCTCGCCAGGCCCTCCTGTTTTCCGCCGCCGTCTTAGTATTACAAAAGATTAAAAAGATTGAAATTAATCTTTTTACACAGATGCCACAATTTTTTAAAAAACTGGAACACGGGGCCCTTCAATGGCCATCAATCTGTCCCAAGACCTTCTGGTGCAGAAATATTTTTCAGTTCTTTCATTTAGGACTAAAGAAAAGATGTCAGACTCAACTCCTGAGGAAGTTCCATACAGAACAGTAGATCCCAGAAGACTTTGCCAATTTTACCTCAGACAAGGCCTGTTCACACAGGAGGGGCCCCTGTTATTGATCTTAAACTTGAGCTGGGTGGTTGATACAAGGAGGAAGAAGTCCTTCAGGTTCCAAGCTGTTTAGGTCTTCAGAGGCCAAAACCAGCACTTTTATTTGAATCTGGAAACCAAGTGGAAGCCAGGACAGTTGTAACAGAACTTACTGAATGTGTTAATTGTGGGGCTGCTCTGTCTTGTAGCAGATGATGCGTCTGATCTACCTGCAAGGGCTGCCCCACACTGAGCACATTGCAGCAGTCCAGTCTGGATGTTACCAAGACTGTGACCAGATCAGCTTTCTACACGAATGATTCTTCAGGGCTTTAACCCCATGATCGATGATTATGTATGTATGCATCTTTTTTAAAAAGTCTTTATTTATTTAGATATTTATCCTCAGCTGTTCTCTTCAGTGGAGATCCAATGTAGCTTACAAAGTTATTCCTCTTCTATATTCATCCACACAGCAACCCTGTGAAGTAGGTTGGGTGGGGTGAGAAAGTGACTGACCCAGTGAACTTCCATGACAGAGTGGGGATTCAAACTTGGGTCTTCTTGATCCTTGTATGACTCTCTGACCCCTATACCATGCTACAAAACCTGGGAATGGCTAGAAAGTGACCACACAATAGTGTTTTCAAAAGTTCTAATAATGCACTGATGTTTGTCTTTTCAGATGCTACGGAGAATGGGGATTATACCAGCAAGGTATGTAGCCGTCTCTTCTCGCATATTTGCTGAGAATGGAATTAATTTTGGTTCGATTATGTTTTTGGAGAGCCAACACAGGAGTGGGGGGGGGAGTTGGACACAGCAATAATCAGAACAAGAAAATCCAAAGGAACAATTGGTGCAGTGGGAAAAATAATTTATTCAACTTCATAATCCCTACATGCTTCACCTATGCTTCGTAAGAACATAAGAACGGCTCTGCTGGATCAGACCATTGGTCCATTTATCTAGTCCAGCATCCCATCTCACACAGTGGCCAACCAGTTCCTCTGGAGGTCCAACAACAGGGCATAGAGGCTGAAGCCTTCATTAGAACATAAGAAGAGTCCTGCTGGATCAGACCAGTGGTCCATCTAGTCCAGCATCCTGTCTCACACAGTGGCCAACCAGTTCATCTTGAGGTCCAACAACAGGGCATAGAGGCTGAGGCCTTCATTAGAACATAAGAAGAGTCCTGCTGGATCAGACCAGTGGTCCATCTCATCCAGCCTCCTGTCTCGCACAGTGGCCATCCAGTTCCTTTGGAGGGCCAACAACAGGGCCTAGAGGCCGAGGCCTTCCCCTGGTAAGAACCTAACAACCCTGCTAGATCAGACCAGGGGTCCCTCTAGCATACTGTTTTCCACAGTGGCCAACCAGCTCCTCCGGAGAGCCAGCAACAGGGCATAGAAGCTTGTACATATCGATCTATTCAATGTCAATTTCGTCACAGGTCCCTTTTGAGAAAAGATATGAAATATACATTAGAATCATTTTTCTTGAACAAACTTGGCCAGAACTGCATATGGTAAAATCCTTAAGAGTATATTGTTCCTTGTCACTAAGATCAATGAAGGTTTTCACACTCCACTACCACCATGTTTTAAAAATAGCTTTTAAATGCATTTGTTTTAGATTATACATGTGCCTATCATTCTGGATATATATTTTTACAGGTCCCCTTGATGAAGCATAGGTGAAATGCATAGGGGTTGTCAGATTGAATAAATTATTTTCCCCACGGTATTGTTTTCTTCTTTCTTTCTTGTACCGGTGTGCCAAGTCCTGGGTAGTGAAGATGACCACCATGTAGAATACACACATGCACAGGTTCATTTCCCACCAGCACAGGGAATACAAATTAATATCTACAGTCTTGTAAAAGTTTAACAAAGTTTGAGTCCAGTGCCACCTTTTAAAACCAACAAAAGTCCGCATGGTCAAAGCAATGGTATTCCCAGTAGTCATGTATGGCTGCGAGAGTTGGACTATAAGGAAGGCCGAGCGCCGAAGAATAGATGCTTTTGAACTATGGTGCTGGAGAAGACTCTTGAGAGTCCCTTGGACTGCAAGAAGATCAAATCAGTCAATCCTAAAAGAAATCAACCCTCACTGTTCCCTGGAAGGCCAGATAATGAAACTGAAGCTCAAATACTTTGGCCACCCAATGAGAAGGGAGCCCTCGCCGGAGAAGACCTTGATCCTGGGAAAGATTGCCGGTCAAAGAAGACGGGGACGGCAAATGATGAGATGGTCGGACAGTGTCATGGATGCAATGAACGTGAAATTGAGTCAACTTCAGTGGATGGCGGAAGACCGGAAGGCCTGGCGGGATCTGGTCCATGGGGTCGCGAAGAGTCGGACTTGACTGTGCGACTGAACAACAACAAAAGTTTTATTCAAGGCATAATCTTCCGTGCGCATGCACACGTTCTCAGATACAGCCCCTTTAAGACCAACGAAGTTTAATTCAAGGTATAAACTTTAATGTGCGTGCACATTTCTTCAGAACATTCCATGTGGCTTAATGTGGTGCCTTCCATGAAGACAGATTCAGGTGGGTAGCCGTGTGGGTCTGAAGCAGCAGAGCAACGTTCGAGTCCAGTGGCAAACCAATGCTCCCTCTAAGCTGTGGAGTCTTGTGAGTAAAAATTCTACTTTATGAGCTACTGGCCTTAAAGTTGTGAGTGAGTGACTTGGCTGCTGCACCAATTAGTTCACTCTGGAGCCCTCCTTCCTGAGCTAAGGCAAAAAATGTGTAGAAAACTGTGAGGTGGCTCACACTAACTCAGCTTAGAGGGAACACTGGTGGCAACCAAGTTTTATTCAGAGTATAAGCTTCTGTGTGCGTGCACACGTCTTCAGAACATTGAATAAAATGTTGAATCAGAATACCTTGAATAAACCTTTCTTGGTCTTAAAGATACTGCTGGGCTCAAACTTTGTTCTGCCGCTTCCGACCAACACGGCGACCCCACCTGAATCTATTTTGTAAAAGTTTGTTATCTTAAAGGTCGATGGGATCTGAAATTTCTCTGCCTTGGTGTTCTGTCTGGAAATCCACATGGTTGATTTTGCTGCTTCTTTGCATCAAACCTGTGATTCTTCGGTTTCTTGTCATTTAGGGATTAGTAGGAAAGGGACTGAAAAGGAAACTGCTGATATTCTCTCTCTCTCTCTCTCTCTCTTTTTTAAAAAAGTAAACTTTTATTTGATTTTTTTTTGGTATACTAATGCTCCTGTATAGGTCTAAGATGCAGCCTCATTTGAAATAGTGTGTACATTTCTGGTCACTGTATCTCAAAAATGACATCGCAGAGCTGGAAAAAGTACAGGGCATCCGATGAAGCTGATGGGCAGCGGATTAGAGGGCGGACAAATGGAAATACGTCTTGACACAACGAGCCATTAAAATGTGGGATTTGCTGCTAGAAGATGTAGACAGCATTAAAAGGGGGTTAGACAGATTTACAAAGGAGAGGTCTATTAGTGGTGACTGAGGGGAACCTCCACATTCAGAAGCAATAAACCTCTGAAGACCAGTGCCGGGAGGCAACATCAGGGGAAGGCCTCGGCCTCTGTCGCCCTGTTGTTGGACCTCCAGAGGAACTGGTTGGCCTCTGCGTGAGACAGGATGATGGACTACATAGACCACAGGTCAGATCCAGCAGGTCTCTTCTTACGTTCTTAAGCTCATGTTTCCTCACCCCAAGTATTTCCCCTAAAATGCATGCCTTTGGGGAAGTTATTTGTGCTCTAATAAATCAGCATTGTACCATCCGTGTATAGATGATGTACATTGTTCGTATAAAATCCATGCAGACATACCACATGCACACACAACAGAAGTGCATCTTAAAAGAAACAGCAAAAAAAAAAGTATGGAAGATGGAAACCATTGGGTAAAATATAAATGAATTATTTGTATAAGAAATAAAACAGAGAATGTTTGCTCATCATCCCTATAAAAGATCACGCCGTACAATGGGTTACATTCTGCTGGTGCTTGGAACAGTGGTGTGTGTGTGTGTGTGTGTGTGTGTGTGTGTGTGTGTGTGTGTGAGAGAGAGAGAGAGAGAGAGAGAGAGAGAGAGAGAGAGAGAGAGAGAGACTCACGGTGCCCTTTCAAAGGTGATACAGAGAAGGTCTCTCTCTCTCTCTCTGCTTCCTTCTGAACCTCCTGGAATCTCTCCCTTAATGAGGCCTTAATTGGCATCCAGCTGTTTCCCTTTTGCTGCACAAATGGATCATTTTGAAAGAACTTGTATGGCAAAGAAGGGCCGATGAGATTCCTAAGAGCCGTTTCCATTTGAGTGGTTTGTGTTGGCAACATGAGTTAAGCTGAAAAGATCACATTTAATTAGGGGAACAATGAAGAGCCAAGGATGAGGGAGGAGAGAAGGACTGGGGGCTCGGGCTGAAGAGTAGGACTCAGAAAATCTGAACCCCCTGGACCGTGTTGAGTCAGAAAGATACTCCACGATATCCTTCGGCCATTTTGTGACCTGGGACCAACGCTGGAGACTCTGGTAGGGTCGCTGCTGTCCGGGTGGTAGCTGGAGAGCTCCCAGAATTACAACTGGTCCCCGGGAGAAAATGGCTGCTTTGAAAGGTGGACTTTATCCCTGCTGAGGTCTGTCTCCTCCCCAACTCCACGTTCCCAGGCTCCACCCCCAAAATCTCCAGACATTTCCCAATCCAGCTCCGAGAGAACTGTGACTGACCCAAGGTCACCCAGCCAGCTGCATGTGGAGGAATGGGGGAACCAAACCCGGTTCTCCAGATGAGAGTCTGCCGCTCTTAACCACTACACCAAACTGGCCCAAGACTCAGTCTGTCAACCCCTTCCTGACTGTATTCATTTTTATCTGCTGTGTTTCTGTTCATCACTTGCCTTGAAACTGCTATGGCGTCAACATAGGTTGACTGTGACCCGAGGGCACTCCCCACCACCACGTCCCGTCACACTTTCCCCCTGGGCCTTTTCGCATCTTGGTTGTTAGCTTCTCTCTTTAAATGACAAGCGGGAAGAAACTGGGAATGAGATTTATACAGGGAGGTTTATTAACACATGGAATTCACTGCCACAGGAAGTGGCGGCGGCTACAAGCATGGATGGCTTCAAAAGGGAATTAGATAAGCATATGGAGCAGAGGTCCATCAGTGGCTATTAGCCATAAGGTATAGATAGGAACTCTCTATATTCTGGGTGCTTGGGGGGGGAGGCAACAGTGGGAGGGCTTCTAGTGTCCTGGCCCCACTGGTGGACCTCCTGATGGCACCTGGTATTTCTGGCCACTGTGTGACACAGTGTTGGACTGGATGGGCCTTTGGCCTGATCCAGCACTGGCTTCACTTCCGTTCTTATGTTCTTATCTCCTCTGTCTGCTGTGGGAAATTTACTTCTGGAGTGGTGGGGGGAGCTATGGAAGATCTGTTACCAGCCCTATCAGTGCCCCAAATGCAGTGAATATATGCCCCCCCAAATATTTCCTATAATCCTCTGCAAACGCATACCCAATGACCGAGGCTCTTCAGGGGTTCTTTAGCAGGCAAGTTGGTGTGGAACGTGTTCCTGAAAGTGGGAAGTCTTTGTTTTAAAAAGAAGCCCTGCTTCTGGGAGTGCTTGCAACCAGCTTATCAGTGTTCTGGCAGAGATCTCCCTGGCATGTGTCTCCTACTGCTGCCAAGTCTGTTAGATGTTTTTGCCCACAGGACACCGATTCTGTCCGAGGAGGCGGGAAAGACTGGCCGATGCTGTACGTCACCACCATCTTGGTAAGGCAATTCAGCACTTCTTGGCTTATAAAGTAATTATCAAGGGAGTAGGTTAATGGGTACATGAGAGAGTGCCTTTTCAGTGGCGGCCCCCCCCCCCCGATTATGGAACAATCCCCCCATGGGAGGTGCACCTCCCTTTTGATCTTTAGGGGGCAGCTGAAGATGGTTTTGTTTGATTAAAGCAGCCCAAAACTGTGGCTCTAAATTTTGGTTTTATGAAGTTTCATGTCATACATTTTATTTATTTATTTATTTGATTTTTTACCCCATCCTCCCCGCCGAGGCTGGCTCAGGGTGGCTTACACAAGAAAGCAATAGATAAAACAGCAGTATAAATATCAATATAAAATACACAACACAGTCATTAAAACCAATGAACATAGCGATGGCAGTACAGCTGTGATAAAGTGCATATGAAAGCATACGTTCAGCGGTGGGATCCACTATCGGCAGGCCCAGGCGAGAAATGGTTATTGGCAGGGCTCTTTTTGTAGAAAAAGCCCAGCAGGAACTCATTAGCATAATAGGCCACACCCAGCAGCAGGGACTCATTAGCATATTAGGCCACGCCCATGACAGCACAGCTCATTAGCATATTAGACTACACCCCTGTGTTACCAGAAGTGTGATCATCCAGCCACACCCACCTTTTGCTTCTTATTCTGTTTACCTTGTTTGTTGTCAAAATCCAGGGCTTTTATTGGAGCAGGAACTCCTTTGCATGTTAGGCCACACACCCCTAATGTTTCTACTGAGTTTCTGCTGTTGGGTGTGGCCTATTATGCTAATGAGTTCCTGCTGGGCATGGCCAACTCAGGAGCCAGCCGGAACTCCGTTCCTGTACGTTCCTGCCCAAAAATAGCCCTGGTTATTGGCACAGGGCATAGATGATGAAACGCAGCTCCTTACCCAAATGCCTGGCAGAAGAGCTCCGTTTTCGTGGCCCTGCTGAAATGTGAAAGGTCCCGCAGGGCCCTAATCTTGTCCGGAAGCTCATTCCAGTAAGTTGGAGCTGCCACAGAAAACACCCTGGTCCTGGTCGATACTAGCCTGGCGTCCCTAATTTTATGTATTGTATTTATCTTATAAGCCGCCTTGAGCACTGTACGGAAGAACGGCAGCTAATAAATGTTTTCAAATAAATGAACATCCTGAGCTAGATGGGCCAAAGTTCCAACTTAATATCAGGCGATGTTGTACAAGGATGCATGTAGTTTGTTGCACGGAAGCAATCCGTAGGTGTGGACCTGCTCTTTCAGCTAGTTTCCATTGCCTTATCCATAGGAAGACCCCTATGTGATGGCCAGGGGCACCGAACTGGAAGGCTACTGCATTGACCTTCTGGAGAAGCTGTCTGAAATACTGCACTTCCGGTACAAGGTGGGCGTCGTGAAGGACGGGAAATACGGCTCGTTGAGCACCAACGGGAATTGGACCGGGATGATTGGTGAGATCGTGAGGAAGGTGAGCTGTCTCCTAAACGTGGTCCCTCAGATTATGAAATGTGGACTTACCGGGATGTTACCTGTAGAGATGTTTCTCATGTGGATTCCTTCTTGCTTCTGGTGAGTTCCAAATGAGCTAGTCTTATTACTGATGCATTGGGAATTCTCATTTTCCCCCCCATTTTTTAAAAAAATTCTGGATTTTGTACATAGTACTATACAGGTACAGCTTGTCACAGGAAGTGCTTTGCTTGAGTAATTCAGCTGTGGGACTCACTGCTGGTGGACGTAGTGTTAGCTGGAAGGACAGATGGCTTCCAAAGGGGATTGGACAGATTCATGGAAGACAGGCCCATCAAGGGCTACTGGCCATATTGACAAAACAGCATCTCCATATTCAGAGGCAGTAGACTCCTGAATGCTGGTGCTAGGAGGCAACAGCAGAAGGCCTTGCCTTCTATTTTTACTTGGTTCATAGAATCATAGAATGTTAGAGTTGGAAGGGACCTTGCAGGTCATCTAGTCCAACCCCCTGCACTCTGCAGGAGCATAGCCGAAAGATAGCCCTACAACATACCCGAAAGATGGTCGTCCAGCCTCCTCTTGAAAACGTCCAGCGAAGGAGCATCCACCACCTCCCGAGGCAGTCTGTTCCACTGCTCAACCACTCTTACATTTAGGAAGTGTCTCCTGATATTTAGCCGGTAACGACTCCCTTGTCATTTCCACCCATTAGATCTAGTCTTACAATCTGGAGCAAGAGAGAGTAGATCTTAGAAGGTTGATCCTTCCAAGGCAGGTGCTTGACCTCCCTCTGAAACAGGATGCTGGACTGGATGGACCACTGGTCCGATCCAGTGGGGCACCTCTTATGTTCTATGAAACGATCCATTGCACTTTGGGGTGCCAGTTCCGGGTTGGGAAATTCCTGGAGATTTAGAGGCTGGGGAGGGTGGGGTTTGGAGAGGGGAGGGACCTCAGTGGAGTATAGGATTGCCATTCCCAGTTGGGAGCAGGGGGTCTGCCAATTTTTTGGGCTTCTGCCCACTGCTGGCCTGTGGGAGGAAACCCCAGTGCCAAAGAGCCCCATTGCCGGAAATAAATACAACATGTTGACATCATGCAGAAGGGACGTCAGCCCATCACATGGTGACACTTGTTTTCGGGCAAAACTCGATGGTTTGAAGCTGATTTTACCATAGAGTTTTGCCCCAAAAGTAGAGCGTCACCCCACGACACCCCCGAGGTGCTGGCAGCACTTCTGCATGATGTCAGCACAGCACGGCACTCTGCCCCACTCCCGGAAAGCTCTCTTTCACACACACACACACACACACACACACACCAGCGCAGCATTCAGACCTGGCCATCCGAGTGGAGTATAATGCTGTGGAGTCCACCCTAGAAAGCGGCCATTTCCCCCCAAAGGACTGGAGTATGGAGGTCAGTTGTAAGTCCAGGAGATCTCCAGGCCCCACCTGCAGGTTGGCAACCTGGATTGCAGTTTTGCCCACCACTTCAAAAGTAGTGGCCCTGATGCAGATTTTAGCAGAGGATGTTGCAAAGGCAGAAAACCCTCCGGGTGTCTTCCCTTAAAAAGGTAAAGGTAAAGGTTTCCCTTGCTCGAAAGCCAGTCGAATCCGACTCGAATGGTGCGGTGCTCATCTCCGTTTCCAAGCCGAAGAGGCAGCACTGTTCGAAGACATCTCCGTGGTCACGTGGCCGGCATGACTAGATGCCGAGGTGCACGGAATGCTGTTACCTTCCCACCGAAGTGGTACCTATTTATCTACTTGCAATTTCTTGCTTTCGAACCGCTAGGTTGGCAGGAGCTGGAACCAGAGACAGGAGCTCACTCCATCATGCGGCACCCGGGTCTCGAACTGCTGAACTACTGACCTTCCACAGCCTGCAGTTCAGCGTCTTAACCACTTGAGCCACCGCAGCTCCTGTCTTCCCTTGCCGGGGCATGAATGCCAGGTTGTGGAGGCTAGAGAGACACCCACGGGGTCTTGCTGCTGTCAGGGCTGCCAGCTCTTCCCTGACCACCAGAGGGAGACTCCCGGAGATTTTGGGGTGGAGCCTGGGGAGGACAGGGACCTCAGTGGGGTGCAATGCCACAGAGCTCACCTTCCAAAGCATCCATGTTCTCCAGGGGGGCTGATCTCTGTAGTCTGGAGAGGAGCTGTAATTCTGGGGGATTCCCAGGCCCCACCTGGCGACCGGCATCCCTGGATGTTGTCCATTGGCCATCATTTGGCTGTCCTGGACCTTGACTATCCTTTGGCCACTCCTATGTATCATTACTCCACGTTGGGCAACTACAAACAGCAATAACTATGACTTTCCAACCAGGAGTGGAGGCAGAGGACGGAGCTGTATATGTGTGAGGAAAGCAAGGGGCACTGCCAGTTTGGTGTAGTGGTTAAGAGCAGCAGACTCTAAACTGGAGAACCGGGTTTGATTCCCCCCTCCTCCACATGCAGCCAGCTGGGTGACCTTGGGTCAGTCACAAGTTCTCTCGGAGCCGTTCTCTCAAGGGCAGTCCTCGAGAGAGCTCTCTCAGCCCCACCTACCTCACAGGGTGTCTGTTGTGGGGAGGGGAAGGGAAGGCGATGGCAAGCCACTCTGAGGCCCCGAGTGACAGGTGGGGTACACATCCTCCTCCTCCAAGACAAGCACCCCTGCACTCCCAAGCATACGTCAAAGGCCACCTCTGCTCTTCCCCCGCCAGGAGGCCGATCTGGCTGTCGCTCCACTGACGATCACGTCCATACGGGAAGACGTCGTGGACTTCACCCAGCCCTTCCTGCACACGGGCATCGGCATTCTGCTCGAGAAGGACACCATCTTGGAAGACGCCTCCCTTTTCCACTTCCTGGCCCCCTTCAGCAAGGAGATGTGGGCCGGCATCCTCGCAGCCTACGTGATCTCCTCCCTCTGCTTGTTCCTGGCTGCCAGGTACCGTGTCCCTCCTTTTCTTTTTTGGCCCTAAAGGGTGGAGATGGGCAGCAGGAGTCGCGCACCTGTCTTGGAGGCAGAGAGGCAGGCGTAATACAGGCACCTTTCTTTTCCCCTCTACTGGGGCTGAAAGCAATGTGAATTGGGGGGGGGGAGCAGTTTTGATCAGGGGAACACTGTGAGGAAGAGTCATCCCCCTCTTTCCTAGCACTGACCCACCTTCAATAGCTCAAGCTCATCTGAATTCAGAAGCTGAGCAGGGCTGGCCCTGGTTCGTACTCGGATGGGAGACCGACAAGGAAGACCGGGGTTGCTATGCAGAGGAAGGCAATGGCAAACCACCTACCTCTGCTCATCTTTTGCCTTGGGGAGTTGTGATAAGTCAGTTGTGACTTGATAGCACTCTACTGTTACTACTACTACTACTCCCAGCTCGGCCCCAATCCACACTGAGCATCTCTGTGGCTATTTTTGAGAGCCAGTTTGGTGCAGTGGTTAAGTGCATGGATTCTAACCGGGGAGAACCAGGTTTGATTCCCCACTCCTCCACATGCAGCTGCTGGTGTGACTTTGGGTCAGTCACAAGTTCTCTCAGAGCCGTTCTCTCAAGAGCAGTCCTCGAGAGAGCTCTCTCAGCCCCACCTACCTCACAGGGTGTCTGTTGTGGGGAGGGGAAGGGAAAGGAGATTGTAAACTGCTCTGAGACTCCTTCGGGTAGTGACAGGTGGGGTCTAAATCCAATCTCCTCCTCCTCCTCCTTCTTGTTATGAGGGGATCTGGTCATGATTAGAGGGAAGCAGGCCTATTTCAGTGACTCATACAGAGGTACAATAGGAAACCTACTCTGAACGTAGTTCTGCTGTTTCTCTGTGTGGGATGCAGTTGGATCATTCCATCATTCCCAGTGGAGAGCCACCACAACAGAATTACCTGTCCCCAGAAATAAAAACTGATTGGAATGAGTCAGACTCATGTAGAAATGCAACAGGGAGCTTCGTCTGATGGCAGGATTTTTTGTGGGGGGAGGATTTTTGCATTGTGCGCGTGTGCGCGTGTGCGTGTGTGTGTGTGCGTGTGTGCTCCCATACCTGGAAGTCATGGTGACCTCTGATGACCCCTACTGGGGCATGGAGGACATTCAGAGAAGTCGCTCGATTGCCTGCCTCTGCCTCCCAGCCCTGGTATTCCTTGGAGGCCTCCCATCCAAATACTTGCCAGGGTCGGCCCTGCTTAGCTTCCGAGATCTGATGAGATCGGGCTTGCCTGGCCTATCCAGGTCAGGGCTGGTGGCAGGTATTCCTGTTGTGTCTGCATCTGGAGTGATAGATCACATCAGGGGCTGACTGGACAGTAGAACAGTGATCCGTGCAGAAAGCTGTGGCCACATCTGTCGATGGGTAGTTTGGGACTCCCAAGCATTTTTGGTTATTTAGCTGATTACTTTTGCAGAATCCCGGCTTGGGAACTGATTGCACCAAAGTACATTCCGAGCAAGGTGACGCGGCAGCTTTTCTCTCCACAGAGTGAGTCCCCGTGAATGGGATGGAAATGAAGACACTCCTTTCACCTTTCTGAACAGCCTGTGGTTTGGAGCAGGATCACTTGCGTTGCAAGGTAAGCCCCGTGGTGCCAGGCAGGGGAACAGTCTCTCATCGCTAAAAGCCCAATTGTGCCTTTCAAGACCAAGGACGTTTATCCCTTGCCTTAACTTTTCCTCCATTTTAATTCAGGGCTGTAACTAAGTAGTTTCCCTGATCAAAATCAGCCTCTGGGACATTTGATTATAAAGACATAAAGATTTAAGGTTCGTTGCTTTCAGCATGTTGGCTCCTGTAGCAAAGCTGGTGTGTTCGTTTGTTTTTTAATTGGAAAGTTGTCATTGAAGCAAAATCAGAAATGTTAAGCATGCAATTATGGTTAGGTACAGTGAGAGGAAGGCCGAGCGCCGAAGAATAGATTCTTTTGAACTATGGTGCTGGAGAAGACTCTTGAGAGTCCCTTGGACTGCAAGAAGATCACATCAGTCAATCCTAAAAGAAATCAACCCTGACTGTTCCCTGGAAGGCCAGATAATGAAACTGAAGCTCAAATACTTTGGCCACCAAATGAGAAGGGAGCACTCCCTGGAGAAGACCCTGATGCTGGGAAAGATTGAAGGTCAAAGAAGACGGGGACGGCAAAGGATGAGATGGTTAGACAGTGTCATAGATGCAATGAACATGAAGTTGAGCCAACTTCAGAGGATGGCGGAAGACAGGAGGGCCTGGCGTGACCTGGCCCATGGGGTCGCGAAGAGTCAGACTCGACTGTGCGACTGAACAACAACAACAGTGAAAAAGTCTGCTTAATTGTGAGCAGTGTATAAAGTACCATGTGTAAAGCACTGCAAGAACTGGGGTTCCCCTCCCTCTCCCAGAATTTCCAACGAACTTACAGAATTTGCTGCCACAAGGTGGTTTGAAGGAGGAGAGTGTTGTCGGGTCATGGCCAACTCAGATTCCATATAAAATACAGGAAACCATACCTCTCACACACTGAATAATGAAAGCCAGCAATTAACAGCGTCTGAATTATGCATTAATAAGAAGAAGACAATGAAAGAACAGGAGAAGATCACAAAATACCAAGACCTATGAATACAGTTAGAGTGCCACGGGGGGGAAAGGGTAACCATCGTGCCAGTGGTCATTGCAGCCCTTGGAGCAGTGCCTCTAAGTCTCAAGAGACACCTGGGCATTCTGGGCATCCAGCAAATAACACCAGCTCAGCTCCAGGAGACAGTGTTGCTTGGAACAGCAAGAATCCTGCAAAAGCACTTCTGCAGTTCCCAAGAACTTGGCTAGATCTCGAATCGAAGAACACCACCTACCAGTCAAATATCTGACTGTGACAAATGACAACAACAACAACAACAATAATAATAGAAGAAGAAGAGTTGGATTTATACCCCACCCTTCACTCAGAGTCTCAGAGCAGCTTACAATCTCCTTTCCCTCCCCCTCCCCACAACAGACACCCTGTGAGGTAGGTGGGGCTGAGAGAGCTCTTTCCAGGACTGCTCTTGAGAGAACAGCTCTGAGAGAACTTGTGACTGCCCCAAGGCCACCCAGCTGTCTGCATGTGGAGAAGTGGGGAATCAAACCCGGTTCTCCCAGATTAGAATCCGCAGCTTTTAACCACCATACCAAAATGGCGAACAATAATAATAATAATTGCAGACAACATATGGCAACCGCGTTATGGAGTTTTAAGGGTAAGAGACGAACAGAGGTGTTTTGTCATTGCCTGCCTCTGCGCAGCAACCTTGGCCTTCCTTGGTCCAAGTATTGACCGTGACCAACCATGACCAGCTCCAGCTAGTCAGCACTGTTTAGGCCGCCACTCTCCTCAGTGGTTGATTCTGCATTGGCTTTTCCATGGGTGATTTTCCACTAGTGCTGCTCTGGGCTCACTCTTCCCTTTTGCCTCGATGGTAGGTGTCAATTTCACACAAGCTGCTGCGCTGCCGCATTTTGCCTCCCAGCTTCGTTCGATTTCCCCCACATCTACTCAATCCTGTTTTTTGAGGATTGAGTAGACGCGGGGGAAATCGCAGGAAGCTGCGAGGCAAAATGCGGCTGCGCAGCAGCTTGTGTGAAATTGACACCTACGGAAATCACCCCATGTGTTGTTGTAGCAAACCCACGTTGGAACAGAAATCCCCCTCTGCATTGCATGCTGCTTTCATTTCCTTTACTCATCAGGTTTTATGGTAGCCTCCACATTCTGTGCCTTTAACTCCCTTTGATCATTGGATTTTATGGTGCCTTCTGCATAGATTTATGGCCATTTTATGGCTGTTCAGGGATGCCTTTGCAGTCAGTGGGGCGTTGGCCCCGGGGTATTTGAATGTGATGTTGAGCCACACTTTCCCCTCCCAATTGAGAAAATGTGGGGCAAATGCCAGATGCAGAATCGCCCAGTGTCTGTTTGGATGCTCCAACAGTGGCTGTTAAACCCCCCCTTCTGTGTTATCCCGACAGGTGCGGTGCCTCTGCCGAAGTCCCTCTCTGTGCGGATAATCTCTGCCATTTGGTGGCTGTTCAGCATCGTGCTGCTGACCGCCTACATCGCCGGCTTCAGCTTCGTTTTGGAGTCGGGCTCCGAGCAGCTCTCCATCCAGACCTTTGAAGACCTGGTGAAGCAGAGGCACCTGGAGTTCGGGACCATGGCCAGCTCCTCGACCCTGCGCTATTTCAAGGTGGGCTGACTCCCGAGCCTCCTGGTTGCCGTGGTTCTGACGGCTGGTTTCACGCGTGCATGCCATGTGTATTTCTGATTCTCATAGGGACTCTAGGGCAAGGGATGCTCTGTCTTCTTGGTGCTTGGGGGGAGGGCAACAGTGGGAGGGCTTCTAATGTCCTGGCCCCACTGGTGGACCTCCTGATGGCACCTGGTATTTCTGGCCACTGTGTGATACAGAGTGTTGGACTGGATGGGCCTTTGGCCTGATCCAACATTGGCATCTCTTATGTTCTTATGTTCATTCCCAGTGATGTATGTAGGCTATTTATCATACTTGTTTTACTTTAGATACGAGCAGGGGTCATTTCGTAGAAAAAGAGGTGCAGGAGCTCATTAGCATAACTCATTAGCATAACGTATTTGCATATGCCACACCCCTGATATCACTGGAAGTGTGTCAGAAGGCAACACCCACCGCTCAGGCTCCACTGGACTGTTTTGGATTGCGAGCTATTGGGGGGGAATGTGCAGATCTGTCCTCGCAGAGGAGGGAGAGCTTGTACCTGAATAAAACTTGGTCTTAAAGGTGCCACTTGACTGTTTTGGACCGGGGGCCCAGGTAGGGGCTCTGCAACTTACTTGGCTGCTTCTTGCTCTGACAGAGGGCTGCTGGGAGCAGGGGGTGGGGCTTGTTGCATGTGCCCGCCCCCTGGGCTCTTTACTGCCAGAGCTCCGCTCCTGGGCATTCAGGAAATGACCCCTGGATACGAGTCTACAATAAAAGACATTAAAACTATTTTCGTTTACTGAGCCTTGTGTGTTAAATGTTCAGTGAATTAATGACCTCCAATATGTCCTAACGTTAACTGCCGAGCTCAGGTCTTGCAAACCGAGGGCCTTTGTGGCTTCCTTGATGAAATCCACCCATCTCAGGTTGGGCCTCCCTCTTTCTCTTCACTTTCCCTTCTGCCTTCAACTTTCGCTAGCGCCATTGTCTTTTCTAGTGCCTCTCGTCTTCTCATAAAGCGACCAAAGTACGATAGCCTCAGCTTAGTTATTTTAGCTTCTCGGGAGAGTTCAGGCTTGATTTGATCTAGAACCCGCCTATTTGCCTTTTTTGGTGGCCTGCGGTATCCACAGAACCCTTGCTTATCAACCTTTTGGCTAAAATCAAGTGTAGTGTAGATCTTTATCCATAGTAATAATCAAAACCAAAGTGTTTTGGTGACTAGCCAATTAAACCAGATTTATCGGGTAGCAGATGTTACTTTAATCTTTTTTTAAGAAACATAAATATTTTAAAACCAATAAATAGCAAGTGGCTTTTTTGGAGAGACATGCCCCCCCCCCGGGGAAATAGCTCTTTGATTACAGTCTTAAGGATTCATGGGGAGCAGTTGTGGCTTATTGGAAGAGCACCTGTTCTGCATGCAGAAGGCCCCAGGTTCGATCCCTGGAAACTTCGATTAAAATGATCAGGTGATGTCAAAGACCTCTTCCTGAGACACTGAGAGTTGCTGCCAATCAGGGTAGACAAGACTTTGACTCAGTAGAAGGAGGCACTGTGATCTACTCTCTAATCCAGAAGGAGAAGAAGAGATTGGATTTATACCCCGTCCTGCACTACCCAAAGGTGTCTCAGAGCGGCTTACAAACTCCCTTCCCCTCCCCACAACAGACACCCTGTGAGGTAGGTGGGGCTGAGAGAGCTCTGGCAGAAACTGCTCTTTTTCAAGGACAGCTCTTATCAGAGCTACGGCTTGCCCAAGGTCATCTAGCCAGGTGCAAGTGGAGGAGTGGTGGGAATCAAACCCGGTTCTCCCAGATTAGAGTCCGCGCACTTAACCACTATACCACACTGGCCTAGAACATCTCTCCTGAGATGGTGCTTGTAGTGCCATGTGGCCGTGTTGTCTTAAAACATATACTTTTTAACTCACGTGCAAATTTTAACTCACTTAGAAGAGGCATCCTTAGGACAGAATACCCTTTCCATGCACAGTCTTAGAACTGACTCTGTTCCTTCGAACACAAATAACAACGCCCCCGACCTCTTCTATCTGTGAGACTGTCAGAGTCTGCAAGTTCTCTCTCTGAAGTCATGGAAGAATCGACATGTGTGTTTATGCATGCTGATATCCTAGCTTGTTTAGTCAGAGGCCCAATGGCAGGAAGGCGATAAAATGCATAATAAGTTAGGTTAGGGATTCTCCAATTGGGTAATCAGTAGATCAGAAGAGGTTTAGAAAGTTTTTTGTTCTTTGTTCTAACTCTCGCCTGGGACAAGCACATTTGTGTTTAGACTTTAGAGAGTCCAGATATAGGTTAGTGCCGTTACAGAGGATGTTAATCCTTTGTTTTGGCTCTAGCATGTCCCAGTAAAGTTTCTTGCTTAAAAGCTAATACCAGTGTTCTGCTGTGTTTATTAACTCTGCTTTTACATTGAAATCCCTAATAGATACCTGAAGTATAACAGTGTGTTTAGCTGTGCCAATGACACACATGTCCAGCCTGGTCTGGATGGCTTATGCGAAGGACAGCTTCCTTTTCAATGAGTCATAAAGCAGCATTGTTGTGCTTTCAGGAATCCAAGAATCCAATTCAGCAGATGGTCTATGAGTCCATGAACAAGAAGAAGGACACCGTTTTAGCCCAGAACTACCAGGAGGCCATTCAACGTGTGCTGGATTCAAATTACGCTTTCATCGGGGAAACCGTCTCTCAAGACCTGGCTGTTGCTCGGCACTGCAACTTGATCCGGTCTCCGGAGGTCCTCGGGCCTAGGGGCTTTGGCCTGGCTACCCCACAAGGTAACCCCTCCCTCCCCGAGTGCTGTTAACCTTCAGCGATGTACCCAATAGCAGCCAAAGTGTAGTGGGAACCAATGCTCCCTCTAAGCTGTGGAGTCTTGTGAGCAAAAATTCTACTTTGCGAGCTACTGGCATTAAAGTTGCGAGTGAGCAATTTGGCTGTTGCATAAATCAGCTTGCTCTGGAGCCATCCTTCCCGAGCTCAGACAAAAATGTGTGAACTGGAGGATAAAGAAACTGTGAGCTAGCTCACACCAACTCATCTTAGAGGGAACACTGCTCTGGTGCAAACATGGTAGGGCTACAGTGTTCGATCCAGAGGCCTACGCTTTGTAACGTGGATGCTCGTAATTGCTAGGTGTCTTTTTAGAGTGTGCGAGTGGTTTTTTTAAAAAATGCATTTTACATGGAATTTATACGTATGGCAGGGCTCTTTTTGTAGAAAAAGCCCAAGAGGAACTCATTAGCATAATAGGCCACACCCAACAGCAGAAACTCATTAGCATATTAGGCCACACCCCTGACAGCACAGCTCATTAGCGCATTAGGCCCCATGTCACCAGAAGTGTGGTTATCCAGCCACACCCAGCTTTTGCTTGTTATTCTGTTTACCTTGTTTGTTGTCAAAAACCAGGGCTTTTTTTGTAGCAGGAACTCCTTTGCATGTTCGGCCACACACCCCTAATGAAGCCAATCCTAATGGGTTTCTGCTGTTGGGTGTGGCCTATTATGCTAATGAGTTCCTGCTGGGTGCGGCCAGCTTGGGAGCCAGCCGGAACTCCATTCCTGTGCGTTCCTGCCCAAAAATAGCCCTGCGTATGACACATAATGCCAGATGATCGCCCCACGTTTTCAAGCAGAGGCTGGATGACCATCTTTTGGGTATGTTGTAGGGCTATCTTTCGGCTATGCTCCTGCAGAGTGCAGCGGGTTGGACTAGATGACCTGCAAGGTACCTTCCAACTCTAACATTCTTTGATTTTATTAAATAACACTGAAAAACTGCATACATTGTGAGGGGAAGGTTTGGTTCAGGAAGACAGCAAACAGCATGAAAATAAAGAAAACAATTCATACAAAGGGGAAACAAACTCTGAAAGGTGCAAAAATGGCAGGGATGAGGAATTCAGAAGTCCGCTCAGAAGATGTCCTCAGTGGTTTATTTTCATCCTAAATTTAAACTGAAAACTGCTTTGAGATGCTTTCACAGCTGTCTTTCAGCTGTCGCAAGTCTTTGTTGTTGCTGTTGTTGTGCTGTTAAGAGAGCACCGCAGTTCCCTTCTGGGACCCTAAAACCAACCTTCTTTCTTTCATTCCTTCCACCTTCCCCGATTTCCAGAGTGAGCGGGCCTTCTGGGTTTGTTCACAGGCATGCCTGTTACTTGCTATTCAAATCTTTATCTCCAGTTAGGCTGGATGTAAAAGTTAGTATCGAGCAGAGTTTGGCATTCTGAACATAAACGTTTTCGTTTTTGAAACAAGCTGCAAAAAGAGTCTTGAAGATTGTGTGTGTGTGTGTATAGACACACATCTGCACACCCTGTTTGGTGAAACCTCAGAACCCGCAAGAACATAAGAGAAGCCAATGTTGGATCAGGCCAAAGGCCCATCCAGTCCAACACTCTGTCACACAGTGGCCAAAAATACCAGGTGCCATCAGGAGGTCCAGCAGTGGGGCCAGGACACTAGAGGCCCTCCCACTGTTGCCCCGCCCCCCAAGCACCAAGAAGACAGAGCATCACTTGCCCCAGACTGAGCGTTCCTATCTATACCTTGTGGTTCATAGCCACTGATGGACCTCTGCTCCATATTTATTTAATTCTCTCTTGAAGCCATCCATGCTTGTAGCCACCACCACCTCCTGTGGCAGTGAATTCCATGTGTTAATCCCTCTTTGGGTGAAGAAGTACTTTCTTTTATCTGTTCTAACCCAACTGCTCAGCAATTTCATGGAGTGCCCACGAGTTCTTGCATTGTGAGAAAGGGAGAAAAGTACTTCTTTCTCCACCTGCTCTATCCCATGCATCATCTTGTAAACCTCTCTCATGTCACCCCTCAGCTGCCATTTCTCCAAGCTAAACCCACTAGAAGGACTGAATGAAGCTGATGAAGTGTATATGTACACGAAAGCTTATACCCAGAATTAAACTTTGCTGGTCTTAAAGGCGCCACTGGACTCAAACCTTGGTCTATTGAATTTCAATGAACACACAATGAAGATAGTAATGATTAGGGCTTTGTACTTTTTAAAAAAACCATGAAAATAGGTTGGGTTGCAAATGAAAATGTTGCATTTAGTTATTTATTGTGTATTGCCTATTGTTCTGGCCAGATCTCATTTTGCAAAGAATAGACGATGTGTAATGGGGCAAAAATGGGAAGGGGAGAAGGAGGGAAGAAAATCAACCTATGAGCCATGAATTTCACAACCACGCTATTTTGACTTGAGAATGCCCGGATCTGTATTTTGCCTTTCCTGGAGGCTAATTGAACCTGCAATTTTTGAACAATTTTCTGCAGCAAAAAATTGGACAATATGGACAACAACGGCAATATGTGCAAAAAGAAAGAAAGAAAAGGAAAAAAGGCAGATTTGTTCTTCTCAGGGATAAGGATTGTTTGGTCATTAGAAAGGTGAATATGTCCCCCCCAAAAGGAGCTTGCTGGGTTCTCAGGTATTTTACAAGCAGAACTGACATTTTCAAGCCGATGTTTACCTCTACAAGGACCAGTGTTCCCTCTAAGCCGAGTTAGTGTGAGCTAGCTCACAGTTTTTAAGCTTCGGGCTTACACATTTTTGTCTTCGCTCAGGAAGGATAGCTCCAGAGCAAACTAATTTATGCCATAGCCAAATTGCTCGCTCACAAGTTGAATGCCAGTAGCTCACAAAGTAGAATTTTTGCTCACAAGACTCCACAGCTTAGAGGGAGCATTGACAAGGACTAGAAATTTCTGAATGGTGGTTAAGTAAGCAGAGCTCCTTGAATAGGGTTGCCAGGTATGGGCTGGGAAATTCCTCGAGATTTCAGGGGTAGAGCCTGGGGAGGGCGGGGTTTGGGGAGGGGCCTCAGCACGGTCCAATGCCACAGAGTCCACCCTTCCAAGGAGCCATTTTCTCCAGGGGAGCTGATCCCTGTCAGCTGGAGATCAGTTGTAAAAGCGGGAGATTCCCCAGGCCCCACCTGGAGGCTGGCAACCCTATTTTCCACAATCCCCGGGGACTCCAGAAGTCCCAGAGAACTGACCCCCCCCTCCAGTGTTCCCTCTGAGCCGAGTTAGTGTGAGCTAGCTCACAGTTTTTTAGCCTCCAACTCACACGTTTTCATTTTAGCTCAGGAAGCAAACCAATTCATGCAGCAGCCAAATCACTCGCTCGCAACTTTAATGCCAGGAGCTCACAAAGTAGAATTTTTGCTCACAAGACGCCACAGCTTGGAGGGAGCATTGCCTCCCTCCCCATTTGGCAGCATCCTCCACAGCGGCCAAGATAACGGGGAGGACTCTTCTCTCTGCTCCTGGGGTTTTAGTCCTCAAAGTTCTGCAAAACTGGAAGACTGTCAAACTGGAAGAAGTCCAAACTGGGAGGGAGGAACTGTAGGAATCCGCTCATCCATTCCAGGAAGGGACAATACCTTCACTGTTCGGTCTCTGTCCGTAGGGTCCCCCTGGACGAACAAGCTGTCAGTGGCGATCCTGAAACTCGGAGAAGCCGGTGACCTCGACCAGCTTCGCAGCAAGTGGTGGGAGAGCAGCTGCTCCCATGACGATCACGACAAGTGGAGCCCGCTGAAACCCCAAGCCCTGGGGGGGATCTTTCTCATCCTCGCCCTGGGCCTGGCCCTAGGGATGATGGTTGCACTCATCGAATTATCCAAAAAAAGCCGGCGCACAGCGGACCAGGAGAAGGTAAGCGCATCGGATTTTGCGTTACCCTTGTGAAGCTGGTGAATACCGAGTCTGGCTGTAAGTCCATCTAGATCGGCACCGGCTGCTCAGACTGGAAGCGCCTTTCGAAAGCAGGGGGTCTGCAACCTTTTTTGAGCCGGTGAGCGCTTTTGGAATTCCAACACGGGGTGGCGGGTGCGAGCCACAAAAGGCCTGCTGCAGGAGGTGGAGCTTCGTTCACGGGAAAAGCCCAAGTCCAGGCGACAAGAGGGGTATTTTAAAATGTATTGGGAGGGAGTGGAGACAAGGAGGAGGAAGAGGAGGAGGAGAGGAGAAGAAGAGGAGGGGAAGAGAGGAGGAGGAGATTGATTTATACCCTGCCCTTCACTCAGAGTGGCTTACAATCTCCTTCCCTTCCTCTCCCCACAGCAGACACCATCTGAGGTAGGTGGGGCTGAGAGAGCTGTAACTGACCCAAGGTCACCCAGCTGGCTGCACGTGGAGGAGTGGGGAATCAAACCTGGTTCTCCAGATCAGAGTTGGCCACTCTTAACCACGGCACAAAACCGGCACAAAACAAACACCATGGTGGCAGCCTTCGCTGAAACCACGTTATTTTAATCTGTGCAGCTGATCAGACCTTCACTGGCCAGTCGGAAACACTGCTGGGTAAGAGCCTCACCCACTTTCTAAATACACTGGGTAGGCACCAAGAAAGGTGTCAGCGGGTGCCACGGCACCCCTTGGCACCCCATTGGGGACCCCCGCTCTAACGTCTCAGGCAGAGAAAGTCTTTTTTTTGCAATGCCAACTACGCGCGATGCTGTTAATTGGCGACTCCTGGGATGGAACTTGGCAGCCTTCCGAATGCCGGGCAGGTGCTGCGCAACTGGATCATTGCCTCTCCCCTCTTGAAACACTGCAGCCTTTACACGAAACGGCAGAGGCACAATGACTTGTATTTGCAGTGAGGCTTGAAATCCTGCCACATGCCCAGAAAAACAACATTCCTTCATGGGCTGAGGGTCGTGTGAACTGACCTCCCAACCCACTTTTGTTCAAAACGAAGGTGCTCATTAGGGAATGTGTTTCTTTTATCGTTTAAAAAAAAATAGCCTGCAGAGAAATCTGTTTTTCCCCCTCACTGAATTCTTAAGCCAAACTTGCTTTTGTGAGTCTGTCTCATTTTGCCCATTTCCTCTCGCCAATGCTAATGAATTGTTTTGAACAAAACGGTCCAGTTATTTTTTCCCATCGGAGAGCTCATGCGGGTCCCTTGTTCTCACAAACGGAAGTCCTTCTCTCGGACTTCAAGAAACGCCTGATGTGGGCTATGGGTACCCAGTCGGCAGCTAGCTTGCGGGAGTTTGATGCTGCTTCATGAGACAGAAGTTACTGTGCCCAAGGCCTGATCTAGCTTGTCAAGGAGAAGGAACAGAACAGAGAACGCTACTGCTTAGTTGTCAGAGACTAAAAAGAGAAAAGAGGCAAGATCTCTGTGACATGGATGACAGACAGAAAAGGCAGAGGTGGCAATCAGGAACTACATGCATAATGTTTAACTAAAGCCAAGCTGGAATCTATCAAAATGCCAGTTTGGTACAGTGGTTAAGTGTGCGGACTCTAAACTGGGAGAACCGGGTTTGAGTCCCCACTCCTCCACTTGCACCTGCTGATGTGACCTTGGGTCAGTCACAAGCTCTGGCACAGCTGTCCTTGAAAAAGAGCAGTTTGTGTCAGAGTTCTCTCAGCCCCACCCACCTCACAGGGTGTCTGTTGTGGGGAGGGGAAGGGAAAGGAGTTTGTAAGCCGCTCTGAGACTCCAAGTGAAGGGCGGGGTATAAATCCAATCTCTTCCCTTCTTCTTCTTCTTAAGTCACAAAATCCCTTTTTCAACTAGCTTCCTTAGTGGGTGGTGCTAAGGGCTGGTCTCTCTCCTCCCGCATAGGTCTGTAAGGACAGGTGCCACAGCTTTTGCATTCGACCACCTTCAGCTTTCTGGTAGTGGTGAAAAGTTGCCGTCAAATTGCAGCCCACTTATGGCAAACCCCTCTTGGGAGTTTCTTGGTCTCCCATCCAAATACTAGAGCGGCCCTACTTAGCTTTTGAGATCTGACAAGGTTGGTCAAGCCCGGGCTATCCAGGCCACTGGAAGTTTTAGGAACTGCAGAAGCCTCCCGGCTGCATTGCTCCCCTCTCCTATACTGATCACGGCGCCTAGATTTCATTAAGCTTCTCTGATGGCCGATGCCTTTCTCAATCAACCTCAGTTCTCAAAGCACTATTCACAGTCCATCGAGTGCTTTCATAGTACCCTGCACACATTCCAATGATTCCACCGTTGGACAGAAGTCCCAGACTGGTCAACCGGTGTTGGATACACCAGCATCCCTTTCCCCCTCTCTCTGTTTCTTCCCCTCGTAATTAGAAATCTTGCTGCTCCGTGTTCAACGAGGAGTTGAGCCAGCGGTTCCGACCAAGAGAAATCAAGAAGCAAGAAACTGCAGGGAAATCCAAACCGTGAGACGACGTGTTGGGCGCAGAAGGTCAAATTGATAACGAACTTTCTTCTTTTGACCCTACTGTATATTCCATAGTGGAACTCTCTGAGCTCCTTCTAACTGTAGGGGATTGGCCAGAAAAGGGGGGGGGAATCTAGAATAGCTTCCTTTTAATAACACAAACCTATGGGGAACCCTCTGTGCGATGTTGTCCATAAATGAAGAGAGATGGGGATTTGCTTTGCTCCGGGGTTCTGGTTTCTAACCTTTCTAGTTCTTGAGCCTGCTTGAGCGCACATTACCCCTTTCTGCCAACTGCAACCTTAGCGAGACGATGAGCATCGACAGCAGGCGTTTGGGGACCTAATCAAAGCGATGCAAACTGCCCGGCAACATGGCTGACTGACAGAACAGCGGAGGCTGTGCGAACGAGAGTGGGCAATCTTCAGGCACGTAGGGCAGCATTTGGCTCCCAGACAATCTCTTTTAAAGGAAGAACACGGTTTCTGGTTGTTCCGAGCCGTGGCTAGATGCTTAAGTGTGCAGGTGAGGCTGGGTGTGACTTCTCAGAGGGATCGCTAGATGGCATTTCTGGCCGTTGCAAGCAGAGCTCTAAGTTGCTGCACTGGTGTAGCGCCTTGGCGCCCCCCCCCCCCCAACTTTTAGGCAAAGTAGAACACTGGCTCTATGTTTAGGATTTACACAATCCTGCTTATGGAGGCCTGGGATTTTTTCTTTCCCCCGGAGAGTATGCAGCCCTGAAAAACTGCCACTGCGGTTGCTGTTAACTAGTTGTTGTCCGTGAGGTGAGGGCCTTTAACCAAATGCTGAATGAAATATAAGGAAAATGTAGGGAGGGGCTCCTTGTTGGGCCTTGTAGGATGAAAGCGGTCATCGACAAGGGGCTACCCCTGCTGGCCAGGACAGCGGCCTGTGTGCCTGCAACAACCAGGACATCTTTCCTAAAAGGTCTCAGTCAAGTTCGGTTATAGCTTAAACTCTGGCATGAGTCACAAGCCCCAGTTTGTCTGTCTAGGAACAAGGCTCAGGAGAGTCCCGGTCCTCCTGTGCTCTCTTCCTTCCCGTAATCGGCTGCCACAGCTTAAACGGAACAAACTGCAAACTCTTAAGAACAGAAGGGGAGCCCTAGACCAGTGGTCCATCTAGAACAGCATTCTGTCTCACCCAGTGGTCAACCAGTTCCTCAGGAGGGCCAACAACAGGGCAGAGAGGCCAAGGCCTTCTCTTGCTGTTGCCTCCTAGCTGTCGGATTCAGAGGCTTAGTGCCTCTGAATGTGGTTCCCCCCTCCTAGCCAGAATTAAATGGTAACAAACTGGTGTGCCACAAGAGCAAGGAAATGGTTCACTCATTTCCAAGCTGAGTTCAAAAACCAGGAGGCTGAGTCCCAGGGTCTGATGTTGCAGGGGAAGCACGTCACTATGCCGGACTGTGACCTGTGTACTGAATCTGAGGAAGAGTGGACGGAGAGGAGGGAGTGCTGGGCGTCTGTGGTGGAGGGAAGCGCGTGCCGCTGATCTGTATCGAGTGAAGGGGCAGACGAGGCTGGGATGCAGCCTGTTACCGTACAAGCAAGACAGATGTTTTATACGTGCTCTTTGCCCCCGTAGAGATATTAGAACGCCCTTCTACAGGGCAGTGGGAACTTAAAAAAAAAAAAAAAAAGGAAGACAGCTTGCTTTGTAAACAGGACAAAGGAATAGAAGCCTTTTCATATGTATCACAAAACATGACTAAATAATAAAGGGAGTTGTGACCAAACTGCCTCCTCCACGTTTCCTTGGGAATGGAAGGGGGAGAGAAGGGTGTCGGTGCACGTCTGTCGGAGCACACCCTTTCCCCTGAAGTGTGCATTCTCACATACTTAAGGGGTGGTCTTGATTTTACGTCTCTGGAGACTGTCCTTCGTTTGCAAATGAGAGATGCCTGAACGCATAATCATAAACCTTTAAAATTCCTTCAGCAACTGACTGGTTTACCTGCTGATTTAAACTAGGCAGCCTGTGGTGTTTGTCTTTTTTTTCCTTCCACTTGTTGGGGCTGAGAATTAAAAAAAGGTATCCTGGTTTAATTTGTAGCACTCGTGTGCATTTGCCAATCTTAAGTCAGTTACACTTCCCTTTGCTGTTGTTGTTGTTCAGTCGCACAGTCGAGTCAGACTCTTCGCGACCGCATGGACCACATCACTCCAGGCCCTCCTGTCTTCCGTCATGCTTCGGAGTCTGCTTAATTTCATGTTTGTTGCATTGATAACACTGTCTAACCATCTCATCCTTTGCCGTCCCCTTCTTCTTTGACCTTCAGTCTTTCCCAGCATCAGGGTCTTCTCCAGTGAGTGCTCCCGTCTCATTTGGTGGCCAAAGTATTTGAACTTCAGCTTCAGTATCTGGCCTTCCAGGGAACAGTCAGGGTTGATTTCTTTTAGGATTGACTGATTTGATCTCCTTGCAGTCCAAGGGACTCTCAAGAGTCTTCTCCAGCACCATCATTCAAAAGAATCTATTCTTCGGCACTCGGAGGCAGACGATTCAATCACTCAGTCTTTAAGAACCAAAACTGTTGGTGGTCCCAATTTCTCAATGTGCAAATTACACAGCTGGTAAGGCTGACATTTATTCACTCAGATTTGCCCTGGAAAATGTTAAATTTAGACTGAACATGGGGAGATTGCTGTCTTAGGGACTCAGGACACATCAGCACATCCCCTGAGACCCAGTGTGAGGATGTGGTTAGAAGATGGCTAGGGAGATCTGGACTCACCTCCCCCTTCCCAGCCACAAAATTCACTGGGCCGATTACCCACACTTTGCCATACCTATCTCACAGGGTTGTTGTGAACATAAAACAAGGAGAGAGGAGCATCATGAATTAGGCTCTAGTTACACAAGCAACTGCAGACAAACAACTAATACCTGAAACAGAGAGAAGCAGGTAGCGGCTAAATCGGAACATAGAACTGGAAGGGACCTGGAGGGTCATGTAGTCCAACCCCCTGCACAACACAGGAAATTCACAACTTACCCCCCCCCCCAGCACCCACATTCTCTCCTTCCTCATGTCTATATTTCAACAGTGTGAAACAACATTGTTGGGGCGGTAACTGAACAGCACACAAGGAGCTGAAGAAGACATCCGACACCCTCAAAACCAGGCAAGAATCAGACTTTTCTGCTGTTTAAAAACTCTATTTGGTATGTGCCAAGTAATGGCTGGTGTATACTTAGGCCCAAAATATAAAAAGAGATTTAATTGACATTTAAATATCTCAAATACGAATGTGTCACAGAACAAAAAAAAAAAAAATCAAGTCTTTCCCCATCACAAATACTGCAGCATTAAAATAAACACTTACCGAAAAAACAATATGAGTGATATATATATAATTATACATACAGTAATCCCCCCCCCCCCCCCCCCGGTGGTAATAAAAATACATTCTTTACAATTAAAGTAAAACTAGTGCAAGTCCAGTTCCGACAGCCACTGCCGGCGCTCCCTCCCGCAAGTCCTTCAGCTTCCTCCTCCTCCTCGACTGGCTCATTTGAGGGGCACCTCATACTTGAAAATGACACTGAAGAGCTTCCCACCGAGGCGATCGGCCAGCCAGGAGTTCTTGATGACGGCGAGCTTGAGGCTTTCGCACTTGAGCTCTGCATAGTAGTTTGTGTGGATGGCGCGGCCCATCCCTTCGATGATGACCAGGTCCGTCTTCCGCTCCCGGACGAGGTTGGCCAAGCCTTTGTCTAGCCGGCTGCAACGAGAACCAGAGAACTGAGGAAGGTGGGGGGGAGAGAGAGACTGTCTGACAGAATCAAGCCAAGTTGATGGGACGCAGGCAGGGCTATTTTGGGGCGGGAACGCTCAGGAACGGAGTTCCGGCTGGCTCCTGAGTTGGCCACGCCCAGCAGGAGCTCATTAGCATAACAGGCCACACCCAACAGCAGAAACTCATTTGGATTGGCTACATTAGGGGTGTGTGGCCGAACATGCAAAGGAGTTCCTGCTACCAAAAAAGCCCTGGCTTTTGACAACAAACAAGGTAAACAGAATAAGAAGGGAAAGGTGGGTGTGGCTGGATGACCACACTTCTGGTAACATGGGGGTGTGGCCTAATGTGCTAATGCGCTACACTATCAGGGGTGTGGCCTAATATGCTAATGAGTTTCTGCTGTTGGGTATGGCCTATTATGCTAATGAGTTCCTGCTGGGCTTTTTCTACAAAAAAAAGCCCTGGACGCAGGTATCAAGCTAAGGCACCTGACATCTGGGTTCGCTGAATTAGTTGAATTGTTAATCCCTGCTTTACAACTGCCTGTATCTGGTATTCTTATCGCTGCCCTCGCTTGCCACTGAATTTCTTGGGGGGGGGGGGAGTGTATGTTGGTAGCTTGCTAGGGAGTATTGCTTGGTAACTCTCCTTGGAGAAGACTGTGTTTGGCTAGATAGTGGCTGTGTATCTTTCAGAGGCGCTGTAGTCATGCTGACATAGGTGTGCATGGAATTTTGGCATTTTCCCTGTATATCTTGTACTTTCCTGCCTCTGCAAATCAGTCCTAACAAAGAGCTTAAACCCATAGCATCTCATATCTCTCAATAAAGCATTCACTGCCAGAGTGTGTCTGGAGAGTGATTTGACTGGGAACCTGACAGCGGGATTCCCAGAGTCACTACCAGTAAGACGGATCTGCCAAGAGTGGGGAAAGCAACTCAAACTATCAAGGGGGGGGGGAGTTTTACCACTACACGGGCTGCATTGTTGGTTAGAATGCAAGCCAATGTAACTGCGGACGGGGGAAGTCTGGGGTGACGTGTGTCATTTTGGGACTGGACACCACAAAGGAAGGAGCAGAGCATCTAACCGAGCACACCGGGGATCATTTCAGGGAATCCGGGGACCACGACTTTTACTCCACAAGCAGTTATCCAGTGCTCCTTCTGAGCTGTGGAGTCTTGTGAGCAAAATTTCTACTTTGTGAGCGACTGGCATTAAAAGTTGTGAGCGAGCGATTTGACTGCTGCATAAATTAGTTTGCTCTGGAGCCATCCTTCCTGAACTAAGACAAGAAGAAGAGAGAAGAGACTGGATTTATACCCCGCCTTTCACTCGGAGTGGCTTACAAATGCCTTCCCCTCCCCACAACAGACACCCTGTGAGGTAGGTGGGGCTGAGAGAGCTCTGACAAAACTATGGCCTGCCCAAGGTCATCCAGCAGCTGCAAGTGGAGGAGTGGGGAATCGTACCCGGTTCTCCCAGATTAGAGTCCACACACTTAGCCACTACACCAGACTCACACAAAAATGTGTGAGCCGGAAGCTAAAAAAACTGTGAGCTAGCTCACACTAACTTGGCTCAGAGGGAACACCGCAGGGGGCACCAAGCTTCTCCAGCACAGCCCACCATGCACTTAACAAATGGCTTCCCTTAGTGGCACGAAAGAAAGAGAAGTCCCTAGCAATCTGCAAAGGAACGCCCACTGGCTCGGCTCGCTGCAGGGAGTCTAGTGCAGTCTAATCCTATCATTCCCACAATGTACATCGCTGTCCTGCTGGCGTGCACATGGTGAACTGGCTTTACCGAGTTGGGATCTCTCTTCAATAAGAAAAGTCACAGCTTGTAAGGTAAATGGCAAGATACTCATTTTTCTGAGCTCTCACTAGACTCAGACAAGCACCAATCGGGGCCACGGAAAAGACACTCAGTGGTTTGCCCCAAAGTCAGCCCACCCCCCGACTAGTATTATATCACTCCCCCCTTCTTGTCCTTAAATCATGGTCTCCACTTCAGCACCTGCCAGGCAGGCTCTGAGACCAATGTGCAGAAGCTGATGCGGGCTCAGCGTGCTGCCGGTGATTAACCTGCTAACACCACCTCTTGAACAAAAGAGCCAAAAGCTCTCCAACGAGGCTTTAGTGCTCTCAGACGTTTCTTCTGCCGCCATCAGCATCCTTGAGAACAGGGTGTGCAGCCAAAAAAAGGATTCTCGGCCAGATGACCCAGAGGGATGGACTCACCTGGATGTTTTGATGTACTGGAACTTTTAAGAGCCAATTAAAACTAACAAGAGATGCTAAAGCTCTCTGCAATTCTGTGCGCTCTCTGAACCCCAGAGCTCCGGCAGCTTTCTAAAGACAGGAAAGCACAGCCGAGGCACGACCGGCCGCAGGCGCAAAACAACATGCTTTTCCAAGCACTGCGGACGTGTTAAAAATCTTCTTTCCTGCCAACAGCGTGCCCTCTACAGACTTGCTGGGGAAGGGTGTGTTCCCAGAAGATACTAGGGCCCTGCGCGACCTTTTACAGTGCCGCGGGGCCTGCAAGACGGAGCTCTTCCACCAGGCCTTCAGTTAAGGAGCCGCATTCAACAACTAAGACCCTGTGCCCGATGCCACCATCAACAGCCTACGCTTCGCAAAACTGTAACGACTATTTTTTTTAGTATGCCTGTTACTATTACTACCTCGCCGTCACCGTATAAACTGATACTAGCCCTTTAAGTCTTGTTTTTATAGCTATGTTTATAATTGTTGCTATTACTACCTCACCGTCACCATATAAACTGATACTAGCCCTTTAAGTCTTGTTTTTATAGCCATGTTTATAATTGTTGTTTTACTTGTCAAATTTTATGTAAGCTGCCCTGGCGGGGAGGGAGGGATATAAATCAAATAAATAAATAACCAGCACAAGTCAATTACAAAAATAAATAAATAAAATTCTTCAAGGAGGACTTGGACGGCAACCGCTTGCTAACTAA